TTGGTTTTGGCCCCATCCCCAGGGGGCAGGGACCATGAAATTCACAATTTTTGCAGACCTGTCTACCCTTTTCATTGCATGGGTGTAATTTCGGTAAATTTTTGGTGTAATTTCAGAGGTAAAAGCGTAATCAATTATGATTCCTATGTTGTTGTTTTACTATAATACTTTGTTTCTTTAAAAACAACCGAAATTGTACGTAACTAAACAAAGCTGGCATTAACTTTTTTTTTCGAATCAGTCATTGGAATAAAAAGTGTTGTAAAATACCAGTATCCTATCACAAATCAACAGCATACTCTTATTGAAGCAATTTGTATCAAATCACTTAATTGAAGGCTTCATTAGTATGTTTACACACGCATATATCACAGGCACCTGAAGTATGGATAATACCCCCCCCCCCCCCCATTTTTTAATGCAAAAAAATGTAAGAGTGTATAATATCTCAAAAATATAAAAATCCCCCGTCAAACACATCTATATGTCGTTATATGCAAGCAAATTGAACTTTTTCTCACGTTTAAAGAATGGCCATATTTGGTATAATAAAAATACACAAGGTGTATTTTTATTATACCGAATAAGGCCATTCTTTAAACGATAGAAAAAGTTCAATCTGCTTGCATATAACGACATATAGATGTGTTTGACGGGGAACTTTTATATTTTTGAGATATTATACACTCTGACATTTTTTTTCATTAAAAAAGGGGGGGGGGGTATTATCCATACTTCAGGTGCCTGTGGCATATATAACACTGTTTTGTATCTTTTTAACACTCACATTTCTTTATCTTGTTCTAAGCAATGTTAAAAAACTAAATTGAGCATAGAAAGGGCTGTACTTATTGCAAAATCATTTATTAGTAAACGCACGAATCCTCGCCATACCGGTTTGCATGTAACAGGTCGAGGAAACTACCTTATATGGATATTGTTGCGATTGCGCACAGAGGTGTTCACAGCAAACAATTGTCCAATCCAGTGAATGAGCCGAAAAGCATGATGGTCTACTACATGTTTATTTTTACTACAAACACGTGGCTCGGGGAATTTAAGGACGCGATTTCAAACGACTGCAGGAAAGTCAGCTAACATTTTTTTTTAAATTTGTCATGAAAAATACGAAGATTGGGTACTTATTAAGATTCCCCATGCTCACATTACCAAACAAAGTAAGTTTTCCTTGTTAAATAGAACTTTGAAATACCGCTCACAATTAAGTCTTCACTAGTAAATAAGACTCAAGTTTTTTAACTCGATATTCGTTAATGTGCCATGTTACTGGTTAAATTTATGGAGTTGTTGCTCAGTTATTTGTTACAAGAAATTAAAACTTGCATTTTATAAAAAAAAAGGTTTAAGTTGCATTTTTTTTATTGTTTACCTGTTATATAAACCATCATGCACATTGAAAACATGAGTAGCATATACCGGTATTTCGAGGCTGTGTACGTTATAAACATTCATAATACGTGAGCACACCTCAGAGTTGATTGTTTTTGGACCAAGGAATAGTCACTTGAAATTGCCTTTTCACTGATAGTACAGCTATACAGCAAGGGGAAAGCTGTCAACAAACGGACTTGTACAATGGAGTGGAGAAAAACCTAATTTTTATCACTGTAAATCATTTGTATATAAATGTGAGCATGGAATCAGTAGATAATGATGTTCATATTGTATTAAGTGTGTAAAATGCTTGGAAAAATGCATCACGTTTTTCCGAGAGCGATTCAAAAAATTGGCCTTTTAGAAACACACGTGTAGTATTTTTGTAGTAGACCATAAAGCAACTCATTGAGCTGATTGGTCGATTTGTCAGTCACGTTGGTTCCTCACTTAACATGTAAATTTATTCCGACGTCACAGAAAATAGTTTCCTCGACCTGTGTAACTACTAGGTATATACGTACGTTTTCGAACTGGTCCTCTATCACATGTAGTTGCTTTTACCTAAACTTCTCATTTTATTTCACCGGTCACGGTAGCCTAGTGGTAGAGCGTTCGCTTCGTAATCGGGAGGCCCGGGTTCGATTCTCGATCGCGGCGCCGCGTCATACCTAAAACATAGACATAGGTAGTGTTTGTTCCTTCGCCAAGCGCTCGGCACTAGAAGTGAAAGTCACGGGTCTTTCGGATATGACCTTAAAAACGTAGGTCCCGTGTCACGGGTCTTTCGGATATTACCTTAAAAACGTAGGTCCCGTGTCACGGTATGCGTTGGCACGATAAAGAACCCTCACTGCTCAAAGTGCCGAATATAGGTCTAAATTTGAAGCCCTTCACCGGCATCGGTGGCGTCTCCATATGAGTGATAAATTCTTTTTTAAGGACGTTAAACAATATACAATCAATCAATCAATCATTTCATTTCAGCAGTTGGTACTTTGACTCTTGTTCTAAGCAATGTTAAAATAAACTAAATTAAGCATAGAAAGGGCTCTACTTATTGCAAAATCATTTAATAGTAAACGCACGAATCCTCGCCATACCAGTTTACATGTAACTACTAGACTAGGTATATTACGTACGTTTTCGAACTGGTCCTCTATTAGTTGCTTTTACCAGAACTTCTCATTTCATTTCAGCAGTTGGTACTTTGACTCTAAACTTAGACGTACATTTAAACAATAAAATGCTTTCTTTGTATGTTGTTACTGGAATGAACGGAAGCAGCTGTTGCAGAAAAAATACATAACCCGCGTAAGCGGGTTATGTAAGTTTTTCTGCAATAGCGGCGACCGTTCATTCCAGTAACAACAAAGAAAGAAAGACATTTTATTGTTTATATTTATATCTGTTTAAATTATCATTTTAAGAAGGATTAAAAATATTACTTATTGTGTTAATGATGCGAACGTCTTTGTAGGTTTCATTGATGGAACGGCCACTGATCACGAAATCTGTACAGGTGATATGCCTGATGTAGTTTATGCAGGGATGAACTCAATGGGTTTTCTTAAGAAATAAAGAAGAAAATGTTCAGTGGATGTAAATATATTGGATTTAAAACCAAAATATCAAAAGCGTAAAATTAATATAAGTGGCGTAATAGCGTAATTTTGTTGTACAAAGCGGAAGAATTACGCCAAAAGCGGAAGGGTAGGCAGGTCTGTTTTTGTTCCCCTTCAAACATACCTATATAAATGCTATATGCCAAAATTGGTTGAAATTGGATCAGTGGTATCAGAGAAAAACTTAAAATGTTCAAATGTTAACCAAGACCAACAATGACAAATGAAAGCGGATAGCAAAAGGTCACCTGAGTCTACTCAGATGACTTCATAAATTTTAGGTGTAAAATACAAGTTTGAAACAAGATGTGTTTGTGAAATAATATGCGGCAACAAAGTTTAAAAAATCTATTTTTAGCATATTGGTCACAGTCAAGGACACAAGATCATTGACCATGGTGTCATTTGAAATAACTTAATCGGTGGAGTATGCATCCCAAATATGAAGTCCCTGTCTCGTATGGTTCAAAAGTTATGGCAAAAAGTGTAAAAAGCTATTTTTAGCATATAGGTCACAATCAAGGTCACAAGATCACTGACCTTGTCGTCGTTTGAAAGGACTATATTAGTGGAGCATGCATACCAAATATGAAGTCCCTATCTCCTATGGTTAAAAAGTTATGACAAACAGTGGAAAAAGCTATTTTTAGCATAAAGGTCACAGTCAAGGTCACAAGATCATCGACCTTGTCATCGTTTGAAAGGACTTTATTAGTGGAGTATGGATATCAAATATGAAGTCCCTATCTCTTATTGTTCAAAAGTTAGGGCAAAGGTTAAAGTTGACAACAGACAGAAAGACAGACAGGACAAAACCAAAATACGCCCGGATCTATCGATCCTGGCGCATAAAAATTAGACATTTAATTACACAGTAGAAAAGAACAATTAACTCTTTACAACTTACTGAACTGTTATGCTCCATGCACTAAATGATCACGTCATAGACATAGAAATTTACCATTTCCCCGCAAGCGCCTTTTAGCGTGGTACACGTTTCTCTAATGTTTAGCGTAAATAATATTATGACGCTGTATTTCAATACAAAAATGACTTTTCTTATTTGATGAGATTTTTGCAAGTATAAAATAGAAGGATATTGGCATTGAATTAACGATTAAATGAACTTTTTAAAGTGCGTGAAAATGCGTGATTGCGGGGAAACGGTATATGCGTGATTTTGCGTTAGAAATAGGAAATGGTATATGCGTTAAAATGCGTGACTGCGGGGAAGGGGGTTAAATGTTAATTTTTAAATGTCACTTTTTCCGGGAAATTGTTCTCTCTAATAGGTCAATTCTTTTGTCATAGTGAATACAGTAAAACACGGTTATAGCGAAGTCCTGGGGACCTGTTAATTTAATTTCCTATATCCGTAATTCGTTATATCCGTATAACAAGTTAGTATAACCATATATAGCAAATTTGCAATATGCATGTTTTCCTTCAAGTGTTACTATCAAATATGTTAGGGAAGCAAATATTACAAAACATACCCCCCTGGTACCTTCGATAACTAAGGTTTTATTATGAATTGAATTTTATATACAAATGCTGAGAGAAAATAAAGTCAGTTCAATTATTCAAATTTTGAAATCTTTGAAAGTTCGTTATAAAAGATGTAAAATTTATTATATTCAACCTTGAGGGGACTCAAAATCATTTCGCTATATCCGTAAATTCGTTATATCAGAGTTCGTTATAAGCGTAAAATTTTACAAAGATTTGTTAAGAATTTTGCCGGGGACCCAGAAACACTTCGTTATATCTGTGAATTCGCTTTATCCGTGTTCGTACTAAACGTGTTTTACTGTATATCCTTTCTTTTGAATTATCATGCAAATCAAGATCAAATAGGAAACACTGATTTTGGACATCTTTCAGCAATTGGCATTCTATGAATCAGCAATGTTCTTCAAAATCATAAGAGCAATCTGTTTTACAGGATTCACAATTTTTAATTCAAGACAAAAAGTAGGCCTAGGTAAGTAGTATATTTTATATACTTCAACAAAAAAGATAACTGTGCTATAAAAACATTCTACAGCATACAACCACAAAGAAACTGTATACATAGGCATACAGTTTCCTACAAAAATTAAAATATTAATTGGCCTTGATGGGACTTGCACATTACTTTATTTCCATAAAAAGAATAAAATTTTTGTGCCTTTAAACAAAATAAAGCTCAATGTTAAATATTCAACTAATGACAATACTGATTTACTTAGACAAACACACTATCAATTTTACGTCTACACCAGCTACATAAAACAAATGAACACAAATACTATTTAATAAATGTACATACATGTTCTTTGATCAGAAACTACAAAAAACTATTTTAAAAAGTACATGTATATACAAGTTATTTGGTATACATTTTATATGAATCATATTAGCCCCAATATAAAACTAAGCAGTTACATGTACTAAACTCTACATCTCCTCTATAGCCCCTCACATCAAAACCACTATATCTTAATATTTATTCTCAACAAGAATGAGAAAACTTATAGTACCCACAATATAAAACATAAAACAAGTAATTCTGTCCACTGTTAAAATCTGATGAGGAAACATGGATTCAGATTTGACATATTGCACAAATGTTCATATTAAACTGACATTTGATATCTCTACACTATTTGTCTGTAAGGTTACATCAGATTATTCAGAACTCCTCTGTGTTTTCATTTCTAAATTAACACTACTCGTCCATAATTGCATCAGATTCTTCCAAACTCCCTTGGTATTTATGCTCAGCTCTGGGATTCGGCCATGTAGGCGTCGAGCTCTGCGTCTAGGTTACTCTTTGTTTTGGACATGTAGGCGTCTAACTGATTGTCTAGTTCCTCTGCTGTCATGCCTCCTCCCCTTGACCCTCCGCGACCTCTACCTCGACCCCCACGACCTCGCTGAAAGCGATTACCTCCCCTGTTGCCACGGTTTCCTCTACCACCTCGCCTATAACAGAAAATACAATACCAATTATTCAATGTATGTTTTCCAATGACAAAAAAAGTTTAATTCAAATTTAATTTTTAAAGTCATGAATCTCAACATATTTCGATCCATTCATCAGAACTTTGTAAGTAATTGTACAGCTATTTGTAAAAGACTAATAAAGGTCAGGTTTGTTCTACAAAAACAAGCAAGACACCTGGCTACATACGAAAGGCTGCAAAAACATTTAAAACTATTCCATTTACCATAATTACTTAAAATTAAGGTTTGAAAATTTTAAAGCTGAGGATTGAAATTTAGCAGGAAGCATAATATCTATGCATTGTTATTCTTCATCTCAATTCTTTATACCGTATTTGGGGGAATATTATACGCACTTTTTTCCTAAAATAAATTACTGTGAGAAAGGGATGCGTATTTTACATCACAATGGGATTTTGACAAGTTTTTCTTTCAGGTGAAACACGGCTATCATACGTACATACCGTAGTATTACCTAGAGACATATGCAATTTCTTTTGTTTATTGCCATATTTTAAACTTCGGAAAGTTATTGTTGGAAGGTATGCTTCTTAAAAATGTCACTTTTATAATCTTTTGATACCAAAATAACATGAAAAAGTAAGTTAAAAGTAATTTGAGCCGCATGTTGATTGTCTCCGAGAGGGCCGCCATAATTGATGTTATTTTTACACGTTTACTCATGCCTATGTCACGTGCTTCCGTAATGATAGTGCACATGCATCTTATCTGCCAGACAAAGTAATAAATCATTTTTTAATGAAATATAATAAAATAAATATTAATTTTAGGTTTAAAATAACTCAATGATAATCTGCAACAATATTAACACCCCCCCATACTTCCCAATGAAAGGAAGCCAATCTTGTGACACACATGCGCTGGTCAAATGATAATTACCTATCAACACCCCTCGGGGCAATTAATTGTCTACCGATTCCAAAGCAATGTTTTTACAGTTAGAGCACTGATTATTTACTTCTATGTTAATTGCATTGATTATTTTCTTTTTAAAAATTGGGGGTCAGTTTATAACCTTTCGTATGTGTGAGCATGTGTGGTATCATTTAGAAAATAAGATATTCGCGAAGATTCAGAAGAGGAAAATCGTAGTCTTCTTAAAGAAATAAATACTTTGATGTTTCAATTTCGTTTCCTGTTAAAATATTGTAAGATAATTTTCAGCATGATTATCTAGAACCAAAATTAAATATGACAACTGATAAAACTTTCGACAATATCTCTTGCTTTGTTGAAATAAAATTATTTCATCTAAGAATATGGCGATGCATAATTTCAAAATCACCGTAACTATTCATAAAAAAAATCTGTTAATTCTTTTACGCAACATTATCTAGTGCTTTGTTGAAATAAATGAATAAGTAATTTTCTCTAGATTGCCGCGATATGGAATGTCAGGATTAAGAGAAAGTTATAAAGTGTGTATTTTAAAAAAGTGTGTTCAGTAAATTTTGGACACTTAATCCTCGTGCCGATTTTCGTAACAAATTACTGCGATTTTCAAAGTTCAGAACATTGCTTGGTAAATTTTTCTGTTGCGTATAATACATCCGAACTGCATTTTTTTTCCCCAGTTTCAGACTCAAAAAGGGGGGTGCGTATTTTACATCAATGCGTATTATACTCGGCAAAATACGGTAAGCTTAGCTAAAACCTTTTGAAGGACTTGAAGCTATCATAAATCTACAAAAATCAGTAACTGACTGGAATTTCGGCAACTGTCAAAATTCAGTTCAATTTCAATATGACAGCAAACTTTTTAAAACTCATTTAAATTCCCTTGTCTAATCTTTATCATACACTTGTGATTTCATCTTCTTAAGAAGATATCATATTGTCCAAAAGTCATTATCAGTCAGAGATCAGTGAATTCTTATGGTGCAGAAGTCCATGTTAGGTAAACCTAAAGCTTGATACCATTAAGGGATGTAAAAAGTCTTACATCATTGTGCAAATTTTAAAACACACTGGTCCTACTAAAAAGAAATTAAAAAGGTAAATCAAAATATTTGTATTTTTGCCAAACTCAAGAAAAAAGGGACTTGGGTAAATGTGAGCAACAAAAATTGACACAAGGGCTGCTAGCAACAATAAGTGGACTCACATGTAGTCCTGGTTACCCCCTCTACCACGTCCCCTGGTTCTACAATGTTACTCAATGACTACATTTACGCTTTTGATAAATAATTGTGAACAACCAAGCTATCCTGCATTTCATTTTGCTAAAAGCACATTGTATAAAAAAGTAATTGTATTTTCTATCAATGCTTTTTTCATTCTATTTTTCTAAAAAGATAACAAATTCCAGATAAGTGAGAATCATGTCTGCGTGCAATGTAAAAACACAAGCAGCAATGCATGAAAACACTCACGAGTTGTCATAGAAACCCCCTCGTCCTCGACCCCTGATAATAAAAGAAAACGGTGCATGGAGGAATTTACAAATGTTTACAACAATACTATTATGTACCTTTATCATTACATACAAACAAAATTACACTATGTCAGCTGCTGGCATTTCGTATCAAACTTACCCTCGGTCTCCAAATCCCCCTCTTCCTCTGCCACGCCCTCTGTAAAAATAAAACATTTTCATTGATCGATAACCCATTTACTGGCTTTTCAAAAAGAAAAAAATAAACCAGCCACTTTCTAATGTTTTTTCTTAATCATTATTTGTGTAAGAAGAAGGATATGGAGATAACGAAAGTATTCAATCTCAACGTCCATTAAACAATATACAAAATAAGAGCAGAACAAACACGGACCTCCCAAACAGCAGACCATTCTACCACGATAATTGGCTACCTCAAAGGAAAGCCGCGGACATTATTCTCCAATAACTCACGAACGTCATCAAAAATTATCAGATCAGAAACACATATAAAACCTGTGCAGTTGAAATGTACATTTGACTTAAGAATGAAATACGTATTTAAACCACATTGATGTGTCATCTTTTACAATTTAAACACTGTATATTGCAGAAAATAGCAGCTGATGAATGTAGGTTTTTAAGGCCAAGTGGGGCTGTTTCCCGAACAGCCCTCCGCCATTTTCAAACTTTTGATCTTGGTAATAAAGTGGTAAAATAGGAAACTGATTTTGTTAGGCCCATTGTACATTCAAAAAGATTAATCTTTTCAAGCTACAAACAATAAAAGGCTAATTTTAATGCAGCGAAAGTTCAAATTGTCTGCATTCTATTCACAGGTAAACAAACAAATTTACACTCTGGTGTTAAATGGAACAGCGTTAAAGCAGCATGGTGACCTAGTTCGATTCTCTATAGAGAAACTATCAGTCGTATTTTAGGGCTGCTAACTACATGTAGCAGAATAGAAATAAAGTCCTTATTTTCGTGAATGATGCCTCAGTTTTTATCTTTCAAACAACATTTCTCGACCTCGGAGATTATTCTGCAACATTCACAAAAACGTGGACTTTATTTCTTAGATAGTAGTTGTTCAACTACTTATAATTACTGTTTAATAAGTTAAATATTTAGATTTTTTTTTTATATTCAGAAGAAATTTATTTTTTGTTCATGTTAGTGTAGATTTGACTTTGTGCATTTCTTAATGTTTCTATTTGTGTACATGCATATGTGTACAAAGACACTTAGCTTTGTACTTGAATGAATGAGAGTTTCTTTCTTTCTGCAAAAGATGCTAAGAAGAATACACGGATAAATGTGATATATACTGTAGAAGCACAAATTTTCGTGGGGATAAAATTTCGTTGATTTGTCATCAAAAATAGTTTCGTGGGCATTTAATTTCGTTGTTTTGAGAGTAATTCCATTCAATATATAATCATAAAAAATTTCGTGTGGGATTTAATTTCGTTGATAATTGTTAACAACGAAATAAACGAAATTTAATCCCCCACGAATATTTGTGCTTTTACAGTATTTAAAGAAATAAATAAATTTCTGGATCCCCACCTGAATCCACCCCGAGGACTTCCGAATCCTCCCCCTTGTTTGCTGGGCTGTACAAATCCACCACGACCCCGCCCTGTAATAAACATGACAGGTGTAACATTCTACACAACTGTGAAAAAGAATACTATCACAGCTCCACCTCTATTTTAGACCTTTTTTAGGGTTGATTGAACATGTTGTGGAAGTGATTGAGACTTTCTTTACAAAATCAAATTAATCTTCAGGTATTTCACTTGTCAGCTTATAAGAAAAGTTTAGGCAGAACCTATCACTTCAAAACTATTAAATTGAACGATGTGAATTGTTCAACGTTAAATGAAAAAACTGCTCAAAAATTCTCACTATTCGAAAAAGGCAGTGGTGCTATCAAACATTTTTCAATCAATGTCAGGATTTGTGTAATGTCTTTACAGTTTTACTTTAAATATCAAGTTATTTTGATTGTACCCTCTACAGCTACATAAGTTTATATTCTCATTAGTGATAACCTCTAGGAGCCATTGCGTCTCCCCCTGGTCCGCCTCTGGATCCTCCCCTCTGTCCCCGTCCTCCACCCCTTTGTCCTCTGTTGAATCCAACACCCCCTCCTCCACGGCCCCGCCCTCTGACAGCACTCAGATTCAACCTGGCCTTCACATTAGTCCTACCCAAACGCTGCTTCAAGCTGGTCTACAACGGGTTAAAATATTTCAATTCCTGTATAAAAATCTTCTGAATCAATACATGCATACATTTGTACAACAAGAAATTGGAATCTTGAAACTTATAACAAAAGAATTGAATAGATTTTTTATGCGCCCGAATTTTTTTCGGGGCGCATATTGTTTTTGTCCTGTCTGTTTGTCTGTTTATCTGTTTGTCTGTTTATCTGTTTGTCTGTCTGTCTGTTGTCAACTTTAACATTCGCCAAAACTTTTGAACCGTAAGAGATAGAGACTTCATATTTGGTATGCATATTCCTCTAATAAAGTTCTTTCAAATGACATCAAGGTCAATGACCTTGTGACCTTGACTGTGACCTATATGCTAAAAATAACTTTTTCAACTGTTTGTCATAACTTTTGAACCATAAGAGATAGAGACTTTATATTTGGTATGTGTATTCCACTAATAAAGTTCTTTCAAATGACATCAAAGTCAATGACCTTGTGACCTTGACTGTGACCTATATGCTAAAAATGACTTTTTCCACTTTTTGCCATAACTTTTGAACCATAGGAGATAGGGACTTCATATTTAGTATGCATACTCTTTTAATAAAGTTCTTTCAAATGACATCAAGGTCAATGACCTTGTGACCTTGACTGTGACCCCTATGCTAAAAATAGCTTTTTCAACTGTTTGTCATAACTTTTGAACCATAAGAGATAGGGACTTCATATTTGGTATGCATACTCCACTAATGAAGTTCCTTCAAATGACATCAAGGTCAATGACCTTGTGACCTTGACTGTGATCTATATGCTAAAAATTGTTTTTTCCACTTTTTGCCATAACTTTTGAACCATAGGAGATAGGGACTTCATATTTAGTATGCATACCCCACTAATTAAGTTCTTACAAACAACACCAAGGTCAATGACCTTGTGACCTTGACTGTGACCTATATACTAAAAATAGCTTTTTGAACTTTGTTGATGCCGGGCGCATAGTGTTTCACAAACACATCTTGTTAATTCCACTTTTAACTGTAAACAGTGTCGTCCTAGACCAGGCCTCTTCTTTTCATTAGTGCAATGAATCAATGACACTGACCCCATAATACAAACTTTTTTCTAACTGGTGTTGGTGTTATTTTGGCATTACTAATTGTAAAGTTTCCAAAGAAATCATCAAAAAACCATATGTGATTTCTCTTTTTGGGGGGAAATTTCATCTTTAAATTTTTTCATGTTTATTTCCCCAACTTCTCATGTCATTATTTTTCAAATTCTCACAGCTGCCTTATTTCCGAAAACTGACGTCCAACTGAAGTCCTAGCTGGTCACTCACCTTTTTGATTTTCAGTGCTGCCTGTACTGTAGGTCTGTTTGCCATTTGCTGAGCTAGCCTCCGATTGGCTGAGGATGCCTGCTGGGCCTCCGCCATTCTGGCTCGGATGGCCTGGGGTGAGGTGGGTGATGTCGGCGTCTTGACAATGTTGGTAAATCTTCGGGATTACAAGGAGAGGGTGCATTAGTCTTACTAGGGATAACACCCATCACTGCAAGACTTAATTCTTAAAGACTTTTTCTCCATGCTTTTTTATATACATGTAGGTTGGCTCATTACTGCAAAGCATATCCATTATTGCTTTTTTTTTTTTTAACCTTTTCTTCATTATTTTCATATGATTGTGTAAACACAAGCCTTTCTTCAGTCCTTAGTTTTGCCCATGACTGCAAGGTATTCCAAATAAATTTGGATATTTACCTTACTAGGGCAGTGCTAATGATAGCTTTCAATGTCACTATTGTGAACTATGCCTTACTAGAGCCAACCATTCTTTTACATGTTATTGTGAAACTATTACAATAAATCTTCAAAATTGCATCATGCAGTTATTTAAACACCAGAAAAAAAATTCAAAGAATGCACATAAAATACAAACCATCTTTCTTGTCACAAGTCAAATATTCTGATTTAAAATTTGTAAAATTTCCAATTTTCATAGTACACTCTTTATTTAAAAAAAAAGTTAACTCTAATAATTTCATTTCATGCATTTCGACACCCTATGAAAAGGGTGTGTTAATGTTTTGGAGAAAAAGTCTGTTTTCTACTGTAACAAACTTTTGCGCATGATCACTCATAAGTGACATATAGCACATCCTCTCCTACACCATTCAGAGGGTCTCTCGACCAGGGAACACCCTCCTTACATGCTGTAGACACTCTCCCCCTTCTTCAGGGTCTACAACTCCCCTCACCTGTCATTCAGAGACATCTTTGTCCCGCTCTTCAAAACTATCTTTGCTGGGACTGCCATTTTATTCTTTTTCCTGTTGAACCCACCTGAAAAATATTCTAAAACTAAACAATAACTATTCTGGATATGTAATATTGTTAAATGTTTGCCATGATTGTGAAAACAAACGAACAATAAACAATGAATATATACTAGGTTTGTTGATAAAAGGCAATTCGGGTTAAGTTGACATTTTTAACGGTAAGGGTGGATAAATTCTCTCTCCGCAAAAGTTTATAAATATTGGAGAGAACCTGTCTTTGTTGATTTCAAAATAAAGTACATACCTTTTTCTTACCAGTAAATAGGACAATTTACACCGATGGTAGGTCGGTAGTTTGATTTTTTTGGATTGTTTGCAGTTAGTTTCCTTTCTGTTTGCAGTTTACCTTTTCGACACCGGTTGAAATGTTTTTACTTCCGTTTAGCCGTCGGGATTTTTTCTCGTCGATCCAAAGTTAAAGGTATTCAATATTTTTTCAATCATGAACAGGGCAAAAATATAAACAAAATATCCACAACATAAAATAATAAATAAAGAATGTATATCGACGAATATAGCAAGATCTCTTTAGTATACATGGACTCTTTTTCCGTTTTTATCCGGTTCCGATAATGTTAAATTTTTTTGAAAAAATGGAACCATCCATTAAGGTTTGAAAGGTTATTTTTAAAACATTTAATTCACGGAGTTTTGTGGCTTCCAAATAATCTTTTAATATTGTTCATTTTCCATGCAATAATAATAAAGAAAAAAGTTTCAATCTGTCACACATCCGTCTAAAGATTCAGGAAAAAAATTTGTTACAGCAAGACAAGTCTGTTCCAACCTAGCAACAGACGAGTCCAAGTGCAAACACAAATACACTGAGAGCATATCGACTTATTACACTTGGAAGTGAAAATTTAAATTTATAGCTAAAATGGTAAGTATTTTAAGCAATAATCAAATATTTACGTGATAAAATTTTATTTAAAGTTATTCTAGAATGTAAATTTTGCAGTTGTGATGCTTTTCGAAGGAAAAACTTTCGAAAATAGTGTGCACTGTGAGATTTTTTTCATGTTTCATGTAAATAGCCTAATATATTTTTTCGTATCACTTTCAACACAGACCTGTACAGAATTTTTGCCATATTAAAATCAAACTTTCAGACACTAAATGCTTTATCTAATGAGGATTTTATCCAATTACCCTCAAGCAATGCCTCAGCAGGATTTTTTTCTCATAAATTGCAACTAGCCTACATGATAATTCTAGTTATCTAATGTCAGTGTAATAGTTTAAACTTATTTGAACATGGTGAATAACTTGCATGTTCCATTTTGTAGACAACTGTGCGCCGAGCCCTGACAGGAGGGGCGAGAGAAAGGCAGTTAGAGAACATGAGAAGACAAGAAGATTATCGGGAAGACACGATTCGTCGCTTACACGAGGAGAAAAGACTCGAGGCTAACATGAGCAATGAGGAGCGTATCTCAGAGAAACGTTTTATCAGGCGGACTATGATGGAGCAGAAGGAAAGGGAAATGGAGGAGGCAATCCTAAAGGTTAAAATGTTCAGTTACTTGATGAATTTACTTAAAATGCAACAAAATTGAGAAAGGCTTTCTTGTCATTTTATTTTTAAAAACAATTATAGAATTAAACATGTATTTATTCCTGTATTTGTGGTATATAAGATTGAACTCTTTATTATCCCCCTACTCTGAAGTGTGAGGGTTTTTTAAGCAATGTTCTTGAATGTGTTCATATGGATGAAAAAATGCATCTATTCAGTAAATTTTACAAATCATTATTTACATCATTGGTAAATTTGATTTGTGACTGAAAATTAATAACATCCAGAATTTGTAAAATATTCTTTGCTTAATATTTTAGGCCCAGAGAGATCGCTTGATCAGAGAAGAACAGTTACTTCATGAAGAAAGACTGGCTGCAGAGCTGGAGAAACGGAAACTAGATTCCATCAGGGACGAGAAAATGAGACAACAGATCAGAGAAACAAGGTAGTGTAATAAAGTCATGATATTTATTACTTAAATATTTAAGGTGTAATTAAGAATTGAGGTATCATGTTTTGCCTTTTATTGGGATGTAAAACAGGTTGGTCATGTGATAAAGATTTGATCATGTGCAAACCCGTTTTACATCCCAATAAAAGGCAAAACATGATACCATATTACTTATATTTACATTTGTGACTGATTTATTACAAATAGTAACTTTAGTATTTAAGTAAAGTTTAAAATCCATTACATTTTTTTTTAAACTCAACAGTATAAATTAAATGTGTTGATAATGTCCATCGCTTATGATGTCACTATCAAATTAGGTAGATGGCTTATGACTAAATAATTTACGGTCACATGACGAACATGTTTTACGGAGATGTAAAAACACCTGGTTCATATAGTGCTATAAGGGAATTTGCAAATGTAAATATTATTTCGTAAAAGCCTTTAGAAATTGTCAGGATAGTGATTCTAAAAATTGCTTTCCAGTTAGTGCAGCATATGTAACTCTTTTTGTGTGTGTGTAACTCAGTAAAAATAATTCATGTAATATTTTCTTTCGAAGAAATGAGACTATTTACATTAAAGTTGCTTTCCTTTTTTGTACAGTCTAGAGTTGAGAGAACTAGAAGCAAAGTTACGATCAGCCTACATGAACAAAGAAAGAACAGCACAGATAGCCGAAAAAGAAGCTCTCAAGTTTGACAAAATGGTATGGATTTTTCTTCCTCACCTGCATTTTCAATATTTTTCATTTCATATTTAGTAAATAAAATGATCCTTCAAAATTTATTTCAGAAAATTCAATTAGATACTGTACATTATTTAGTAAAATTTATCTACATGTGTTTCTTTGAAATCTACATTTATTCCTGTACTTTGTCAGTTATCTCTGAATTGTGACATATAAATACAGTAAAGCTTGTTTAATCGGGATTTTGAATATTCCAAAATCTTGTCCAACAGAAAGTAAACTTAACGAGGCCGAGTCTAATTATTTCTGCCCTAGGGATTTTGATAATTTTTTGATAATTAATTTTTATTATATTTATTGTTTTAGGATTAAAATATCGAATGTTTACCACCCTGTTTTCTTAGTGGGCCATCTTAAATGTTGTCAACCTTTACTATTGGACCCTATGGGAATTTGTAGGAAAATCGCCAAATCATTACATTTTTTCAATATTTTTTGTATTTCTGCCCTAGGGATTTCCTTTTCATTCAAGTAAGTGAAAGTAAATGTAAATAGTCACCAAATTGTGAAATTTCAAAAAAGTTCACCATCTCGATTGGTCTAGGTCGAAGCTGAATACCTCTAAAATTGCCATATTACGGTAAAATACATATCTATGGTGACGTTGTAAGAGCCATTTCAACGTTCTTTTTTCCAATGATTGTCGTAAAGTCACATTTTCAGATCAGTAGTAGTTACAAATAATGTTAATTTTGTATTAAAATTAAAATAATTAATGACTGCATGAAATTAAAAAAACTGCGCAATGTGATGCGCACTAGAATTAGACTCGGCCTCGTTAAAGTCCCTCTCTATATGTTAACTGTCTCACACAGAATGTTGTTTAATCCTGCCAATTTCTTTGGAGCAGATTATTAAAAAAAAACTACCTATTCGGGCAATGGGGTTTATTGCTAATAATAAGGAAAGTTGATGAAGGAAAACTTGAAGTCATTGCGTTGATGATGTTCACATTACTAGATTAGACAAGTTTTCACTGTTCTTCTTAATTGAGGTTTTTACACCTGCTCCACATTATTTAAAAAATATGTTCCCCCCTAGAAACGAGATTCAGAGATAGCGCATGAAATGAAGATGCAGCACGATCGAGCCGAAGAGGCGGAGAGACAGAGAGAGATCGAGAAATACCGGGAACAGATCCGCTACCAACAGGAACTGGAGCGACAGTTAGAGGAACAGGAACAGAAAAAACAACAGGCCTACGAAGAGTTCCTCAAGGAGAAACTCATGATAGACGAGATCGTACGCAAGATCTACGAGGAGGATCAAAGGTAGGGAGGGGTGGAAAGAGGCTTTCTTTTTAAATTTTTTTTTAAAAATTACAAAAAAGATTCTTTATTTATATAAAATTCACTTCATCTGTCATTGATTTCTAATCATGCTGACAAGTCTGAGATGTTTTTTTTCTTCTTAATAACACTTTGTGTTCAATGTCCTATTTATTAACACATATATTTTCAAAGATTTAGAATATTGCATTGTACATGTTTAAACAAATGTATTGTTACAGGTGTATGAAGAAATGAATACCTAATTATGCTATTTGTGAAAGAAATAAATCTGTATCATTTTCTTCAAATATTTAACAGACATCCACCAATGATATATCTATTTTGAAATAACTGGATTAACATTATGTCTGTCTATTAACCAGGGAGAGAGAGCTTACAATGTCCAAGAAGAAGGCCACCCAGAAATACATCCAGGAATTCAAACAAGCACGGGAGGAATGGAAGGTCCTGGAGAAAGAGAGAATGGAGGAAGAAAACCGCAAAATTCTACAGTTCTCCAAACTCCAGGAGGAGAGAGAGAACGCCCGCATGGAGAGCAAGAAACAGAAGGAGGAGGCCATGGCCAGAGTACAGCACGCGGTAAGTGGAAGTCTGTTTGGTGGCTAGGTGGGCATGAGAAGGGAGGTAATTATTAAAGGCCCTTTAATTTATCATATAGGCTTATAAATCCTTGAAGGGATTATAGTTGATGCACATGACAATGTATTTTGTTAGCAGAAAAATGTTCTTTCAGTAGATGAGCCAGTAAATTCCCAAATTCTTTGAAGGAGTGGAAGCGAGACTTATTATGAATGCTCTGTAAAATTGAATACTTGAAAGAATGATCGTGCTAAACCAAGAGCAGAATCAGTGTTCATTTCTTTGCAAACAATTTTGAAAGCCTTTGGTAGATCCTGAATATATAATGCTAGTTAAAGGGAGACAATTTTACATTTACCTTGTTTTGTTTTGTTTGTATGAAATATTAACAGTAAACCTGTTACTATTTATAGCTGGCAGAGGACATCTCAGCGAAGGAGGCGGCCCGAGAGGAGATGGAGAGGATCCGACTGGAGCTGTACCTCGAGGAGCAGGAGGAGAAAGAGAGGCAGAAAGAAAGGGTAGGTGGATCTAACAGTTAGTATAAGGGTAGGTGGATCTAAAAGTTAGAATAAGTATAGGTGGATCTAACAGTTAGAGCAAAAAAAGGGTACGTGGATCTAACAGTTAGAATAAGAAAGGGTAGGTGGATCTAATAGTTAGTATAAGGATAGATGGATTTAACAGTTAGAATAAGGATATAGCTATAGGTAGATCTAACAGTTAGAATAAGGGTAGGTGTATCTAGAAGTTAGAGGAAAAAAAGGCTGGATGCTTCTTTGTTGGCTTTCAATTCAATGTTTATAAGGCCTCTAAATTCAAATTATTTGATAAATATTTTCTCAAAGGAATCAAAATTATCTTTATAAACCTGTTGGAATATGTACAAAATATCTCATCTGATGTATCATTCTGAATTTTAGTTAACTTTTATGTACATAGATGATAAAGCTTTTAAATTCTTATCAAGTCTCTTAACATGATATAAAGTTTATGATATGTATGTAATTGGAGTTTAATTGATTGCTGTTAATTTGTGTAACAGGAGGATATGGAGAAGAGGATCCGCCAGAGACTGGAGTTACAGAGCACACACGCCCAACAGATGCACTTCAAGAATCTCCGCAGGAAGGCGGAGGAGGACGAAGAAGAGGAATTCAGGCAACAGGTAAAAAGGGGAATAACTCTATTTAGCTCTGTTCTAAGAGCACTAACATACCTTGATAGAGTGAAATACAAACCTTTGGGTTAAACTTTAAGAGACTTTTATATTCTGAAATTGGAAATTGCACAAGAAAAGAAGAAGATAGTAAGGCAAAAAAAAATTAATTTCTTGGTTCTCAGGCCCTCCTTCATCTCTTCCAAGGGTGCCTCATTGACCCTTTTTATTGCTAAATCAATAAAATATAAACACCAAATCACCTCCCTCATCATTTTTTGAGGTTTTGTACAATGTAAAAAGCTGCCTCATCATGTTTTGGGGGCAATAAAAAAGAAAAAAAAATGCCTCCCTCCCTCATCGTATTTCTTGAAAAAAGGCCTGAGAACCAAGTAATTAATTTTGCATGGCCTAAAAGAAAAGTTTGCTTATTTAAAAAAAAAAGAAGATTTTTGTAAAAGAATTTATGCCAATAAAAAAAAACGAAGAAAGTAGTAGATAATAAGTATATATTGACAATTTTTCTATCATTACTAGATGATGGCCAAATTTGCGGAGGATGACCGCATAGAACAGATGAATGCTAACAAGCGGCGCATGAAGCAGTTGGAACACAAACGGGCGGTGGAAAAACTGATCGATGACAGGAAGGCGCAGTTTGCCGCCGACCGCGAGAGGGAACTCGAGGAACGCCGTGAGGAGGAGAGGATGGAGGCCTTCAGGAAACAGATCATTGAGGAAGAGAGGCAGAAACTGCTACAGGAGCACGCCATGAGACTCCTAGGATACCTACCAAAGGTATGAAATGCTGGTCGTTAATAGGGAATAAAAGTCAATGAAATTTCCATTGTAGAATTATGTGTATTTAGTGAAAACTGGATTTAAATACCTGTACATGTACCTTAGATTCTCATTCTCTTTCCTGCAGGGTGTGATCCGAGATTCCGGAGATCTAAGCATGCTAGGTTCCGAATTTAAGGAGGCATACAGCAAGCGTCAGATCGATCCCTTTGATGATGAAGCGTGGGACCAGCGTCGGTAGGGAATTGACCAATCAAATTAGGCAACTGTGATAATGAATTATTTTTAACCAATGCCGTCCATCGTTACACTGCTGTCTGACTTGTTTATGGTAGAATGTAAAATTTAAATTTTATATTAGATTGTCAGGTGATGTTACTATTTTACAGCAGTGGGGGTATTCCATTTATTACTATCTGTTTTTATACAGAAAATTATCAAGAGTGAATGTGTGAGAAAATGTGAAATGTGTTGTGTATGAGGGACTTGTAATGTGAAATTTTTTGCTGTCTTGTTTTGCCCAGGAATAGTTGAATAATTATTCAATGGTTGTATAATATTGGTCAGAAAACACATTTACATCATGTATAATGCATTTCATGATATGTGTATCTGTATATTCTGCTATGCAGTATTTTTCTGAATTTTATTGTGAATACATGTACAGTATACAAAAGAGTAAGGTGTTACTATTAAGTTATTCGCTTATTATTACTCAATGAAGTGCTAAGATTGATTAATAATATACATGCGTGAGAAGAAAAAAACACAGTCAGTCGAAGAAACATTATATATTTCTGCAACTCTTTGTTTCGTTCCCTATTCCTTTTATTTTTAGCCAGATAATATTTCATTATAAAGGTGTTCTGTATTTCATAGGATTAAAATAACTATAAAATTTCTTTTGTATAAAATCATGCCAATTGAACAGTTAAATAACTTCTGTGAAAATTAAAAGATGAGAACTGAAAAATTGTAGTTTTCTTTATTTCAACAACTAATATTTACATTCGCTGTAAGACAACTGTGAAATTGATTTGAAAGTTATTTTTGTGTATACTCACGCGTAGAAATATACACGGAGAAACGTGCGTTAACGTGACGTCACAATGAGGCTGCAGCGACGTTAGTAAGAATACAGCGATATAGGGCAGCGAGAAATTCAAATATTGAGTATATTTTAGTTGCTTCCGAACATGTAAAATGTAAAGATAAGAAATGTTTTTCAGTTTAGTGTGAATTATTGGTGTGTGAATCACACAGACTTGCACGTAGGCATATTTTTCATGAAGCGCTAGCACCAATAACTCGCACAAAACTTAAAAACATTCCTTAATTAAATGGAGTTGTGTATTATTCATACCTTGTCAAAAAAATATATATACTTGAAGCATTGCATGATTATCAGGGAAAAGGGGCATTTTATTTTCTTAAGGATTAAATGAAACAACAGCAAACTTAAACAGGCGCCTAAAGTAGAATTATTAATGAATTTAATCAAACTAAGTTCATACTGGTACATAGTCTAAAAATATTGCATTTCACTGAACCTAACGCTGATGGTTTTTAAACTCGTTTAGGAAATACATGTACTGTTAATCAACTTTAATTTGCATGAGAGAAATATTAACCTGTTCTGAAAAATTCTTTTACTCACAAATATCTATCTCCCTGAACATTTTTTTTTAGATTTATGTTTATATATTTTATGTAGAATCTTCCTCAATTGCAGAAAAGTCACTTTCTTATCACGCTTATTTGTAAGAGTGATACCAAAGCTACAATATGAATCAAAATCAAAATTTCGATCAAGTTTGTCAGTTTCCCATCAATTTCTTTTTTCCTAAAACATCCATATCTGTAGCATAAGTGAAGCAACAAATGTACATTCCACAGTTGATCAGATTCAAAATCAAAACCCACAGGACCTACAGGAGTACATTTTAAGGCAAAAAGGTGATCTTAAAATCAAACACTTCGATCAGGAATTAATTCAATTATTTCTTCATTTTAGTTAATTTTTGATTGGTCAGTTGTATATATATAATTTTTTTAAAATAGAAATAACACTATGGATATGTCAATACACATCTTGTGTAATATTGCTCCAAATATGAAAAGTTGCAAAGTAGATAATATACATGTAATAACAGTAATAATATAAAATTGTACGGAACTCTCTCCTGCCTTGGGTAAGGTAAGATTGATTGTCAAATTAAGGGAGAATGACCATCCAAGGGAGGTAAATCTAAAATGTACGAAAATTTAGAGATTTTTCTCAAATTTTGACATGTTTGTTAAACTAGTGTTTGCCTGAATTCTTGTTTAATCTCCAATTTAAGGTGGATGTCATATTTACAGTAAATTCCATCTATACATGTATACTATTGGTCATTCTGCCTTAACATTAAAACTGCATGTTATAAAATTCCATTCTGTATGAAGTAATGAAAAAAAAGCTTTAGATTTTAAAAGCACTGATTGCCAAACTTTGAATATATTATTTATTCTATACTCTACATGCTCTAAACAATAATCATAGCCAATTTTATTTGAAAGATTTGGTGCAGCTGAAATGTTTTGTGTATGACCATAATATTTCTAGCATAAAGCCGTCTCTCACATTGGCATTCTTAAAAAAGATTTTTTTTTTTCCTATGGAATGCATTTATACAAATGTTTGATTTTCTCACATAAACAATATATTTGCATAAAGACATATTATCTTCCACAAGTGAACAAATTGTAATTTACTGAAACATTTGCATACAATGTAAAATCAAACAAAAAATAATATTCAAATTGAAAATAAATCAATTTCTTACGTATTCACAACATAACCAATGTATGAAGTCTACAACTAATGCATACTTATATAGACTAAAATGTATTCATCTACTAGACATGTCCCATTCATTCAAAAGTAAATTTAATAGCACAATGTAGCAAGATATTTGTGACTTGAAAAGTATGCACTTTTGAAATCCTTCAATTTGATTCAATTTTGAAAAAAAAAAATGCATGTGAAACTTTTAAAAGTTTATTAGTTGACATTTTATTTTGAGAGAGTAAGTCATAAAATGAGTCCAAATTTAAACAAATGTCTGTTTTCCCTCTCCCAACTCAGACTGTAAACTTTGGGTTGGTTAAGAGATGTGGATAATATTCTTTTCTCAGAATTTCATCATTAATGCTGAATTTCAATATGCATAAAAAAAATGATTGCTCCCTGGTGGTTGTAAAATTTTTAAGCCGGGCCATTGTTAGCCAGTCAGTTGGGAAGAGGCAAACATTCTTTTTTAAATGGACTTGCATAAGATTAAAAGGGAAGGGCATAGAGAAAATATGGCACTTGTATGTTATAATACAAATTGTTTGACTAAAAGCCCATCCCAATTTACTTCTTATCATCAACAAAAATCTCAAACTCTATACACTAAATAATTTAAATGTTCTCCCTTTTCAAAGGAAAAAATTTTTCAGCACTTTGCATGCAATTTTGAATTTTTGTAGCATTTTCCATATTAACGGGATTATTTTTACACCCTTTCAAACTTGCAAAAATGTTGCCATTTTATAATTTGCCTCAAAACAGTTTCATTCAAGAGGTTAATATGCCGTCTTCTTTGAATTCTCTTTGTTTTGAATTCATCCACTTATCACAAGGGCAAAGGAGGTAAAAACAAAACTGTCCACTGTAAATGGATACAGTACTTTGTGTGTATGTCTGGGTGTAAGTTCATGTATGCAATTATTTACATTTTCGCATGAATCACTGAACAAACAAACAGACTTATTCTAAAAAAATCACAGTTACTCAAAGCCATTCAAAAATTCATGTAACTATACATGTGCACACAATTAAAATGTGTGATCAGGAATGCATAATTAATAATTGTCATAATTAATAATTGTGAATTGAACAATCATATAAAAATTATGCTATATACAAAGCTTTGGAATAAGATGATAATATAATGTACTGGTACTTATAAATGAGCAAGAATATATATAAAAAGCTTAATTATAACAATAAGTGTATAAGGACAGGTACATCTCTAGCCCAACTATCAAAATAGATGAATTATAATAATACATCACATAACACACACACATACATACATATGGCAACATAGTAACATAAGGTTCGGTCTTATATTTATTTTATATCTAATAGAAACATGGTGAGGTCAGGAAAATGTATAACACACCCAAAAAAAGCAAGTACAAGAACTGAGTTGATGAAGAGAAAAAAAATTATGTTTCATGGTAGACAAGGACAGAATCTTTTAAGAAATGTTTCATATATCACAGGTTATTGATTGGACATTTTTCTTGCTACAGCAGTTTGAGAACACAGGAATATGAAGGCGTGGGTAATGTTATGATAATAATTAAATTTTAGTGAATTTACATCAGAAAGAGGTGCATTTTACTTGGTTTTAGTAAGCTCTAATTTTGTGTGAAGTTTTCCTTAATATAAAATCTTTCTCTGTTCATATCTATTCTTGACTAGTACCAATTACATGTAGTTTCTCCAAATATGACTACGACCTATAGAGACAATACTATATATATCATATGACTGTTAAATAGTTCTGTGTAATGTCTCCTGATAAGCTGCTCTATTTATAATTCTCTTTTCTTCATTTATAGGATGAGATTTATGCTGAACATATAATTAAAGTCAGAATACTTAAATATAACGATTATGGCAAGCATTAAATACCTCTTACATTACATTATCTAAGTTATATTATTCTACAAAATGAGCGCTAATAAATATATCAATTTTAAGGGTATTTTTAAAGACAATCTTTCATTTAAAATCTAATTTGAATATCATTAGCAAGTGCTTCATTTATGAAAAATATCAAATTTTAGTCAAGATCTTCAATCTATGAACTTTCTTGTCTTGTGCTAATCGAAAAAAAAATATTCTGTGGTAAAAGAAAAATATGCATAATTTCCCCAATAGAGACATGAGGAGATATAAATACTTCAATCATAGAGTTTCAGATAAAAATAATCTTAACCCCCATCCCCTTTTTTAAAAAGAGTAATAAAAACAGATGTTGGCACTAAAATCTTGGAATGTGTAACAATTTTCTCATGAAACTGGTCCTCGAGAGGAAATAAATATGCCCCTTGTTTCTATAGCTTTAAATTTTCTTATGCCCTCACAAAGTCAAAACAGTACCAAAAGGGAATGTATTGTGTAGAAATCTTTTACAAACACGTAAAAAAAATCATTAACATTGGATCATAAAGTGATCACTTACAAAGAAATAGAAACATATATAATATGTTGTATAAAAAATATTCATCTATATACACAGTAAAAAAAAAAATGGATACTATATATATAAAAAGTATTTTAGTGGACAATGGTTCCCATGGCAACAACAATCCTCAGGAATCATCTCGTGTTGAATAAGGCATACTTGATCATTAACGTCCCTAACACAAGCCACAAGGAAAATGTCACATGACCCGCCGAGTTCACATTTCTCGTGAGGTCATCCTGAACAAATAATAACTGGTCAATGATATGCATCACCCCATTTGTCGCCCCCTCGTCCATGTGAATAACATTAGCTGAGGCTCCTCCAAAATAGATCCGCACATCTAAAAATAGATCAGAATGTTGTTAAGTAGATCAAAACTAATTTTGTTTGATCAGTTTGTCAAATCACATATTAATTTTTGTCCGAGATCCCTATAAGAAAATATTAACACAGAGCTAAAGGGATTGGGAAAAATACAGTACACTTCCATTATAAAGAACTCTATGATGAGGACTATTTATTTATAAGGACACAACTAATAAAATAAAAGACTTTCTATACCTGTACAAAGCTGTGTTGAATTTTGGTTATAAGGATATGAAAATTGATGTCACTTTGACTTCTTCAACAAACTTCTTCTATACCCAGTCTGTTAGTACTTACACCCCTCCCCCTCCCCATCTTAAATTCAGAATTCAGTAAGTTTTGGTTTACACAATTTTCCCGTTATTTTATGGTTCGACTGTATAATTACCTCTGTCATTGGTTTTGGTGAGACTAATTGTCTCCCCGTTTAGCATTTTCATCTGGTGGTTTCCGTTCCCCATTTTCTCTATATAGATCCTCCCCGGAACAATCAGCCGCTTAAACAACTGGAAAAAAAAGAATTACCTCATACAGTCTCAAAATTCTTCACTCGAGAACCATTCATTTAAAGCATTTTCATTTTCATGATACACATTATCATGTAATACGGAAAATCATATTTAACATGTAATATGTTTTATTATCACAATTAACAGATATTTTAAATCACATAAATGTTTTTAGTAATCAAGTTGCAATATTAATCTCTATGTAACGGAAAATTTGTCATTTACAAAATTAATTGTGCAAATCATAAATAGTAACTGGTTTAATTGATTCATGCACATGTAGAGTAAATTGAAGTTGTGTTAATTTTTATTTAAAAATTTTTGATAAAATGCATTTAAATCATCTTCCTACAAGTCGGACAAAACTACATTTATTTTGCTAGGAGTCAGTATTTTTTTTTACTATAAATCTATTTCACTTACATATTGGAATCTTGGCGTATCTCTCATGACTCTGTTCCCGTTAAGTGACACTGAGAAGTAGTCGATAGCACTGGAATTAGGGACAAACACGGTGAACTCACAAGCCACAGTAGTGGTCCCACAGTACCCCATGTCATAGTTAGACGTGCCCTGTGACCCAGTGTTCATACCATTCAGCATGTTACAGGGGTAAGTGTTACATGGACTTTTATTGGCGTTACTCGGGTCGCTGCAGTAGCTGACGTACTGACACTGTGTCGTAGAACCGCCATTACAACTCATGCACTGCTGGGAATTAGCGTACTGGGGCTGAGAACAGTAGGCGGGGCAGTTAGACCCCCCAGTCTGACAAGGGGCCGAGTTACAGGGGAATTGATTGGCGAACTGGGCCTGCGAACAATACGTAGGACAGGTGGAGCTCCCTATGTTGCTATTGGCACACAGGGCAGTGTTACAGGGATACTGGTTCTGGTAGTTGGCCTGGGCACAATAGGTGGGGCAGGTGGTGGACCCCCCAGTGTTTGTCTGACACTGGGCAGAGTTGCAGGGGTACTGGTTCTGATACTGGGCCTGACTACAGTACGTGGGGCAGGTGGTCCCCTGGTTGGTGAGAGCGGCTGATCCGTAATTTGGAGGATAGCCATAGATCTCAAAGTTACACTTCTCCGCAGTGAATCTCCTATCTGTCAGGTAGTTCTTCAGTCCCACTCTCCGCATGTAGTCATAGGTACGCCTATAATGAGAAACAAAACAGATATTACAACAAAATGTTCTGAAACACAAATCAATTTAGTAAAATTCTCAGTTAACCTTGGACTTTTAGGGGGCATGACTCTCTTGACACTTCGTAGTAAGTCTATGTCAAATGGCAAATAGATTCTCATTAATTAAGAAATTAATAACATAAGAAACTTTAAATTGTTGTTGACAATGATGAGACAGCTTAAGCCCCACCTCTTTGCCATACAAGATCTTGTAATTGGCTAGTTGCAAATTTCTATCCCATGTATTTCAACAATGAATGAAAGCTGTGTAAATTTCAGAAGCTAAATAAATTATGCAATGTCAAGAATGCCATGTCTTACTGAAAGTCCAAGGTGAACTAAGAAGTGTACTACATCAAAGTGACCCAAGGTCACTGAGGGCATACTGTGAAAGCACTCATTTTCATGGGGGGTTTAATTTTCATTGTTTCGAGGCAAGGAGAGATCCAAAAATTCATGACCACCACGTAATGTAAAATTTAATATACATTACTATGAAACATGCTCCATCCACGAAATCAAGTCCCCACAAAAGAAGATTTTACCTCAAACCTTGAAAATTTGACCCCGCGAAAATATGTGATTTTACAGTAGTCAGTACATAAAAATGCATGGTAGATCTTCAAGAACTTATTATATTTTGACATTTCACTTTCAGGAATGTTATGATTGTTGATCACTATGACCTATATACACATACAGTAGCCAGACGTCATGACAGATCAGCATGGGGAGATCTAAGTAGGGGATTCCTAGAACGGAGTCGATGATGTGGATCATCCCGTTAACGGTCTTTATATCCGGCCGGATCACACGAGCTTTCACGTTACCTCCCTGTACCCAGGTTTCTAAAAACAAAGAAGATACATGTATTTGCATGACAAGGTTCTGTACAACTTTTCTTCTTTAAGGATTCACAGTTTTCTCTTTCTTGAAAATAAAATAAATATTTATTTAAAAAAATACAACTATATCATTATTGAAATCATTCAAGAGAATATAGTTTTCAAACCAAAGTGGAAACTTTAAAACATGGATACCTCTCGCAGTACAGTTACGGTGCGCAATGGAAATATCGACTAAATTTTGTATTTAAAAATGTATTCGTAATCGGGATGGCAATTATTTTTAGTTCATTATTTATATCGGATAATTGTAATTATGATTAATAATAATAACTACATATCGAGGACGATTATATTCTATATTTAGTAGGGATGGCAATTGATTGCAGAATTGCTAATCGGTTAATCGCAAAAGGTTCCGACCGATTAACGGGTTAGTCGTATCAAGAAATTACATTTTGACATTTTCTTTTCATATTCACAAACAAGAGGCCCCTGGGCCTTATAGGTCACCTGAGCATTATTCAACAACTTCCCAGTGACTGAATTTGATCCATGTTTAAAGCCAGATGCTATAGCATTTACAATCTGGTCATCATAACTATACAATTAGCAGTTCCTTAGTTTGGTTACTTTATACCCATAGGCAGGGTAGGGGAACAAAAAATGCATTTCAACTAATCAGTAATATTCAGCAATAATCAGTAGTGCCGCTACCACACATGAACCCTTGACTCTTAGGCCTAGATCCACACATTGCACTATTTTTGGAAAGGAATACTTGCTTTTCAAAAATATTTGATTAATACCAAGGAGCACATTTCAAACAATTTATTCATTTTCAGTACATAAGTACAGCCTCCCCCCCCCCACCCACTATGGTACAACTGACCCTGGGGCCTTGAAATTTACAATTCTTGAAGATTAGGGATTGCTCATAACTATATAGGTAATTCATCTGCTTAAAACCTAGGAGAAAAGAAGAAAATATTCAAAGATTTAATGATTTTTCACTATACATGTATAATCAATACAGCCCCGCCCTAACGCCAGAATCCCTGACCCTGGGGCCATAAAATTCACAATTTTGGCAGAGGCACTTTTGCTGATCATAACTATGTACATGTACTTAGTTAGTTTATTCAATACCCAGGAGTAAAGAAGAAGATTTTCAAAGAATTCATGTATTTCCTCTATATAATCAATAGAGCCCCACCCTGACACCAGAAACCCTGGGGCCATAAAATTCACAATTTTGGTAGTGGCACTCTTGCTCATCATAACTATGTACTTAGTTAGTTTATATAAAACCTAGGAGCATAGAAGAAGATTTTCAAAGAATTCATGTATTTTCACTATATAATCAATAGAGCCATGCCCTAAAACCAGAACCCCTGACCCTGGGGCCATAAAATTCACAATTTTGGTAGAGGCACTCTTGCTCATCATAACTATGTACTTAGTTAAATTATATAAAATCTAGGAGCAGAGAAGATGATTTTCAAAGAATTCATGTATTTTCACTACATAATCAATAGAGCCCCTCCCTAACACCAGAACCCCTAACTCTGGGGCCATAAAATTCACAATTTTGGTAGTGGCACTCTTGCTCATCATAACTATGTACTTAGTTAGTTTATTTTTAAAATACCCAGGAGTAAAGAAGAAGATTTTCAAAGAATTCATGTATTTCCTCTATATAATCAATAGAGCCCCGCCCTGACACCAGAACCCCTGACCCTTGGGCCATAAAATTCACAATTTTGGTAGAGGCACTCTTGCTCATCATAACTATGTACTTAGTTAGTTTATTTAATACCCAGGAGCAGAGAAGAAGATTTTCAAAGAAATAATGCATTTTCACTATATACTTATTTAGCCCCGCCCTAGTACAAGAACCCCTGACCCCAGGGCCATGAATTTCACAATTTTGGTAAAGGACTCAATGCTGATTACAATCATGCAAACAGTTTGACTGCTTGATGTCCAGGAGTAAAGAAGAAGAGTTTTGAAGATTGCATTAATTTTAATGGTTTTGGCCCCACCCACCAGGCCCCAGGGGGGCAGGGATCATGAAATTCACAATTTTTGTTCCCCTTCACCCATAGATGCTTTGTGACAAATTTGGTTGAAATTGGTTCAGTGGTTGCAGAGAAGAAGCTGAAAATGTTCAAAAGTTTACGACCGATTGACGACGAACGACGTACGACGAACGACGTACGACGGACGACGACGGACAAAAACAGATAGCAATAGGTCACCTGAGTGACTCAGGTGACCTAAAAAGGCTTATAAGACGTTAGAAGTTTCACTCTGTTTATTATTTTGATCGGGGAAATTTATGTACGTTGAGTATATTTCATTTTAATTTCAAAGGACAAGAAAAAAAGTAAGAAAGCCATGAATTTTGCTTGAGAAATCAGACAGAGATAATTTTCCAATGCAGATGTTAAAGAAGTTAATTCTGCGTTGTCACCATAATCAGAATTATTCTATGTCTGAACTCTCATTTTGTTTACAATTTACAACGTTCTTTATAATAATATAATTTAATAGATATTAAACGGCAAAATATAGACATACAATAATTAAAAGTGCTTAACGGCGATGTTTTTAATATAACTTAAAATAAACACAGGACTATCTGCCTGGGTAACGGCATGATGTTATAAAAACAGTAATTAACACTTTACGAATTGACCAATTACCCTGCAATCTCAATACGGAGAAGTATAATTGCCACCAAGATTCTTAATTAAAAGATGTGTAAAAACACTAAATAAAAATCTATGCAGCGCTTTCCTTTCTAAAAAAAAAACAGAAGGGATTTTAAGGAAACTGCGCTCAAATTTACATATATTTTATTTTTTCCGACTAACCGATTACGGGTCTTCTAACCGATTAGCATCGTTCCGACCGATTAATCGATTAACCGGTTACAAATTTCCATCCCTAATATTTAGACTAATCATGTGATGTGGCAGTCACGCAATTTTAGCACATTGACTTGAAGTATTGATGTTACATATAAATATCACTAGTGCAAGGGCATAACCAAGTTAAATTTCCAAGTTTAGTATATAAATATTTTCAACATGCATTGTAGTTTCTAAAAAGTGCTGCGATCCTGTCTAAATTCTGCAATTTCATTGTTAAAATTATACTTGTATAACAGAATGCTATATTTTTTGCTTGTCAGCGGCATGAAATATTGATATAATTAAATTGTTTTTACAATTTCATCAGGATCGCAGCACTTTTCAGATATCTTAATAGTTATATAGTTAAAATGTAAAAGTTTACTTTGATCCATAGAGTGTATGCCCTTGCACTAGATCGATTTATTAAGACCCCCCACATTACCCTCCGATGTACTTGCATACAAATATACGGCAGTGTCAATTAAATACGTAATGTACAGAAAATATATTGATAAAATAGTAAAGGAGACATTAAATTCAAGTTATTGGCCCATTGAATATATGTAAATAATATTTTATTTAAGTATAGAATACTGTATACAGGGATATTTTCGCCCCCGTTTTATTTTCGCCCCTTTCGCCCTAATCTTGATTGGGCGAATTTAAAACGGGGCGAATTCAAATTTCACAGCATAATTTCTTAAACAGAACTAAAACTGGGCGAATTTATAATGGGGCACAATTGTTCGCACGTGGAAAAGGGCGAAAATAACCCTGTATACAGTACATATTTTGTTGAGAAAATATTACTTGACCTGTCTCTCACTGCATACAAACTACGTCATGTTGTAAGAAATGACGTCATACTGACAAGTGTATTGCGATCAGTGACTTGTTTATAAATTGTTATGTGGGATTTAACTAAAGACAAAGCAACACGGTGTAGTAAGTTTTTATGTAGTTTGATTTCTTACTGGTTAAATTAGCAGATAAACTCATTTTGTGGTATTTTAAAGAAATGTTGTATGACGTATATTGTGTATGATGTCATAGTCAAGTTTTCCCGTACAAATTAGGCTCCGCCTCCTTTTTGTAATCTTAACTGTGCTGCGCTTTAAATATAATTTTTTCTTATTTTTCTTTTTTCTTATTGTCCAAATTTTCTTATTGTCCTTATTGTCCACACTCTCTGATACAGTCAAACTAATACTACATGAGACAACTTACCATTTCTTTCATTATAAATGGTGACCCTCTCATTGCAGTACATGGTCTGTCTGTACTGGCGACTTTCGTATCCACTCATCGCTGGCAAGGAGGAGATGATAATAGGGTTGTTAGGGATCAGAATATGGAGTCGAAGCACCTGAAAAACAAAGAAATTATCTTACCTGTATTCAAGATCATAGCACTATAGGCCTTGCTGCGTGTACTTAAGATACTCTGAAATCTCAAGATCTATGGAACATACAACTGAACAGTACATTTAGTTCAATTATGGCATATTCTTCTTGTCATAGCTCTGTGTGCCATTTAAAAGCCACAGTGTCTAATATGAATTTGGAACAGAGCAATTAATGCTGTTATTTGACAATTTAACAATATTGTTGAAAGAAAACACATTCTTTTCCAGTCTCTGACTAGCAGAGTTAAAAAACTGGATTTGCTACTACAGAAGTGCAAAGAAACTTTTTGGCGTAGAGTGGTATATTTCTAGTTACCATGTCCACCAGTGTCTGATTACTATTGAGGTTGGCCCAGCGGATGTTAGCGATCTTAGCGAAGGCCGTGTCCAGAGGCATGAAGACCGACACCCCAGATGGCTGAACCAACGCGCTCCGTACGTTCTCTGTACCCAGATTTATCAGCTGTTCAAATTTCCTTAAAATGAATATCAAACGAAAAAAAAAATAAAACAAATTTCAATAGATTTAAATATAAAATGACAACTGCAGGAAATTCTGAATGTTCATATCATGATGATGATAGTGAACATGATTTTAATATCATGAACTGATAATTAATAAAGCAAATTTCAATTTATTTCATTATCATTCCAAATTATTTTTTTTAGTTATGGAACGATCAAGTTATTCCCAAGATAACAGTGTTTTTGTTTAAAGCAAAAGGTTATTTTTGTTTGGATCTGGTTTTAGCCATTTCTAAACATGCTAAATAATATTTAAAAGCTAAACTTCATGCTAAATATATACACTTATATACAAAATTAAAAAGTAAATTTACATAGACTTTGAAAGAGATAGAAAAAATCATTTCAGAGAATGGAATGAATGTAGAGTTTACAGAGAGGAAAAATCTTTTGTCACACATTCCTGTAAAACAAATTTTATTTGCAACAACTTTATTTAGCAATTTACTGGGGGTAAACTAGTTTGCAACGATTAATTTTTGCAATGAAGCCAATTTAGGTTCATTGTGTTGTTAACAGACACATTACAAGACTTAAAGAGCTGGTTCACGGCAAGAAATATTTGCAATGACGAGGCTCTCTCTAACTTCGCGAAAAGTTCTGGCACACAAATAAAAAGTGGTTAATAGTAATTAACCATATTAGCTAAACACAAGAACCCAAGAGGAATAAACTTGACCTACGTCCCCTCTCGTTGAATCTGTTCCCGGATGTTGTTGTACACAAATCCTAACAGCTGATCCACCACATGAACTACTCCGTTAGACACCGTGATATTTCCCTCAACAATGGCTGCACTGACACCATCACTGTTAACATACACTGAAATCAGAATGTAAATCATTGAATTCAATTTTTAGTTTAAAGCTCTAAATATGTAACTTCACAAATCAATACATTGGAATGTTAATATTTTTTACATTTGTGTGTGCGGAATTGCTAAAAAAATTCTTGACAAAGAGTGACATTTTCGACACATTTATTGAGCACAGAATTAACAAAATAAATCATTTATTTATGCCTGAGACTATTCAATCAGTATTCACACCATATTCAGATTATGAAAATTATTGTTTAAATTTCAGTTGACATCAACAGTAAAACTGAAATGTTCTGTAAACTGCTATAATACTGAGAATTGAAAGGATTGGTGAAAAGTTTATTTTCCAACTAATGCTCTACTTACATTTGGTAAATATTTTAATGAGCTACAAAATATTCACTTCTTTTTCATCCACAGCTAGAATGAAACAGGATTGCACATTCAGACTGTGGTTTGCAATTATGATGACAATGACCTTGAACCCTTGTAAACTTTGACCTACCATTGTAACCTGATGGCTTCCTGAAGGTCAGTGGTTGACCTCTGGCATTGGTAACGCCTTCATTGTGGGAGATACAGTTGGTGAAAATGGCCCGATTAGGAACATAATGAGCTTGTAGGATCTAAATTTAAAAAAAAAAAAAAAAAAAAAAATGAGCTTTAAACTAAATCATTTGTGATCTTCTTGGAATCCCTTTTTTCATGCAGGAAAAGTTAAAAATTAGAAGAATATGGGAAGCATCAATAAATCTGCAGTAAACAAAGTGGGGGAGATGAATGGCATTGGACTTTAGAATAATAATAATGATAATAATAATAATACTTTATTTTAAGAGGGTGACCCGATTAGTGCAATGCACTAGTCTTCCTCGGGGCCCTCTAAGCATGTTCACAATCATACAATAATGAAATCATTGTACAATAATAAATAATACAACATGACGTAAAAATACAAGTACATATAGATTTCAGGAGATTTTAGTTGCGGCATGTTATTATGAATTTTTCTACATTTTTACGAAATGTGTGTAAATTCTGTGAAAAACGTATGTACAAAGGTAGTTTGTTCCATAAATGAACACCGGAATAATGAAAAGAATTTTTAAATTGATTTGTTCGATATTTCGGTAGATGAAGGTCATAGTTTGTTTCAGATCGTAGAGCATAACTACTAGAAGAAATAAATTCAAAAGAGTCTCTTAAATAAGTAGGTGCCATACCATGAAGTGTTTTGTACAGTAATATATATTTATGAAAATCAATCAACTCGTAAATAGTCAGCCATCCAAGTTTTTCGAATAATGGTAGTGAAGGGGAATCAAAATTTCTATAGAATCTAATGTGTGATTTTACTCATTGTAATTCTGCAGGATCTATAATAATTATGTAGTACCTGTTACAGTTGTATTTCTGTGGGATTTGATATTTCCTTGTTAATTCTGAAGGATCTGATGGGATTGTAAATCTATGGAATCTGATTGGTTTATATTAACCTTTTGTCACTTCTGTGGGACTTCTTGGTAGATTTGATAGGTTTATATTTACTCACTGTAATTCTTTGGGATATGATATAATTTACCTGTTGAAATTCTGTCGGATTTGATAGGTTTATATTCTGCGGGATTTTATTGGTTTATATCCTTTGGGATTTGATAGGTTTATATCCTGTGGGATTTAACAGGTTTATATTCTGTGGGATTTGATAGGTTTATATCCTGTGGGATTTGATAGGTTTATATTCTGTGGGATTTCATAGGTTTATAGTCTGTGGGATTTGATAGGTTTATATCCTGTGGGATTTGATAGGTTTATAGTCTGTGGGATTTGATAGGTTTACAGTCTGTGGGATTTGATAGGTTTATATCCTGTGGGATTTAACAGGTTTATATTCTGTGGGATTTTATTGGTTTATATCCTGTGGGATTTGATAGGTTTATATCCTGTGGGATTTGATAGGTTTATATTCTGTGGGATTTGATAGGTTTATATTCTGTGGGATTTCATAGGTTTATAGTCTGTGGGATTTGATAGGTTTATATCCTGTGGGATTTGATAGGTTTATAGTCTGTGGGATTTGATAGGTTTACAGTCTGTGGGATTTGATAGGTTTATATCCTGTGGGATTTGATAGGTTTATATTCTGTGGGATTTGATAGGTTTATATTCTGTGGGATTTGATAGGTTTATATTCTGTGGGATTTGATAGGTTTATATTCTGTGGGATTTGATAGGTTTATATTCTGTGGGATTTGATAGGTTTAATATTTTTACCGTTTGTAATTCTGTGGGATTTGATGAGTTGATATTCTGTGGGATTTGCTTGGTTTATACTTACCCATTCTAATTCTATGGGATTTTATGCAAGTATATTTACCCTTTGTAATTCTGTGGGATCGTTCTTGAGTCTGTCTAGCTGTGTGATAGGAATCTTTTGCATTGCGTTGTCATTGGGTACAAACAAGGTGGTTATCTTGTCTGGTGATGAAATATCGTTAATGCTGTCTTGTACATACATATAGCTCATCAAATCCATGAATCGCCTGTAATTTTAATTTATAATAATTTAATTTTAGTTGTAACAGGTCATTTGATTAGGTAAAAGATTTCATCCATTTCGTATAACATAAGTTGTCTATGTTACAATTGAGTTATGTCAAAAACGTATCACTCTGCTTGAAGTTACTTTCAAAAATATCATTCAAGGGGGCAAACTTTTCTGTATATAATATTAGTACCTATATTTTAATAGGTTTGAGAGAATGTGAAAAATTTGTTAAGGTGTACACATGATATCTTGTGGTTTGGTTCTTTTCCTGTGTTAACTTTTTCATGTACTTTAAGCAAAAATAAAGTTAACTCATGTAAAACATGTGAACTTAAAGGTAATTTACAGTAAACCCTGCTCTGAAGCAAGAGTTAATAATTACGCAAGTTACATACGTAAATCTCTGTGAAGCATCTTCTGGATCTTGGATCCACCCAAACGCTGTTTTCTGACTTGGTTTACGCATGACTCCATTTAGACCATGAACGAGCCCATTGGTGGCTGAGATGTCGCGATTTGTTCCCTCTGAAATCTCCACACCATTGACGTAATACTTGATTGGTCCAAATGTGCCGGCCGAAGTCTGAAAGAAAACAATTACATGTACAAATCAGTCAAAGTATTTCTTATTCTCTATTATCATGATTAATTTATAAAGTTTTCAAATTTACATTCATGATTTAATTTGATCATTAAAATTAAAACTCAAGAATCCTTATGAGAGTTAACCTCTTTTATCATAATTTTCCCATATGATATAATTCAAAAAAAAAATTCAAATTCAAATTCCACATGCAGAAACATGAAAAATGTGCAAGAAACAATATGCTAAAAAATAAAATAAATACAAGACTGAATATATCCACCCCAAGAACTTATTTTCACAGTATTCTTTATCTCTTTTCAACATATCATTTCAAGTGTGCACTTAATATAATAATGTATTAACTTCAAAAGTTCAATGTCAATCATCATTAATAAATTAGAATAAAAACTCATTTCAAACACAAAATCTTCCACTTCAAAACAGTCAATACAAATGTACAAAACTCATCAAATTCATAACCAAAAAAAAGCCAGTCAAACCAGTAGGGAAGCTCACTTTCAAAGATGCTCTACCATGATATCTTGCAACACATGCCAAACAAGACGTGGAAGAATCAGTAAATAATTCATCAAAATGTATACATCCTTATGTTGACTATAAATATTCAATATAGATAGTATACAGGTTTATTTTTCTTGTTTTATTTTTTCATTCTTTTACACAATGTCATGCTAAAAAAAATCAGCTCCCTTTTAAAACACACCAAGTCACAGTTCTGTAGAAGGTCTGAACAAATAACTTATGGTCTTACCATTCTTTGAATTCTCCCTAGGGTGCCTCATTCTAAATTTTTTAACCTGTGACAAGGGTCAAAAGAGGTCAGATGGGCAAAAATAAAACATTGACAAAAATTTCCCTGTATACAGTTTTTCTGTAGCTAATGTACTGATACACGTAATATAAGTTTAGAGCATTTTGAAAGATTAGTGCCTTAAAAATAAGTTAGTTGCAGGTTCAGGCTACAGGCCATGGTGTTAATTTTTGTTCTGTTTGCTTTCAGAGTGTAAAAGTTATGTGATTCCACAACATGCAATTTCCAAACACTGTCAAGATAACTTAAAGGTCACAAATTTAATTTTTGGTTCCATTCATATTTGATACTTTGCTAAAAAAGGAAACATAATTCAGAGTCAGTCACCATGGTCATATTGTCACAATTTTTGGGGGTGAGCCAAAGGCCCAGATGAAAAGAAACTTTGATGCTTCTTTCTGTTTTGTTACAAAACATTTTGTCAACTGCCATAATTTCAAAATATTCCTTCAAAAAAAAAAAAAAAATCCTAGCAGTTTCAAAAACCACTTTGAGATTGAGATCTACTAATTTTCAAAGATGGTTTCCTAAGGGGACATAACTTTTCTCTTATTCATTTCCATAAATAGGATATATTTTCTGGAATTAGCAAACTGATTTATAGAATATTAACAAGAAATAAAATGCTACATGAAATATGAAAAGAACTTTATACCTTATTTGCTTCTTTGTTCAAGATACAGGTTATCAGTATAAGTAAGGTCAAGGTAACAGGGAATGTCAAGGTTTATGCCTGTTGGTTATACCTGACAGTGTTTTAGATAATAAGCAGAAAAGTCAAAGTCAAGTCCAGTATGCTACAACACCCACCAAACACTTACGGTGTACAACCGCTGTTTTCTATTTATAAATAATTTGTCACCATTGGAGTCCATGCTGCGGAATTGTATATTGTCCCTCATGGAACCCGTTGTTAGTCTTGAGCCATAGACTGTAAAATTAAAATACAATACTCTGCCCACTATGCGTTCCGAATACAAGTAAATAAAACGTGACTTACTGTGTCCATTCTCTGGACGCGATTGAAAAAGAGGCGGTCCCCGTTAGAGTCGCTGCTCCGTAATTGTTGGTTGTCCTGGATAGCTGTGGTGGGTACGCGATTTCCTGGGACTGAAAACCACAAAGATGGAGGCAAGAATACCAAACATTGTCCAACTCGTGCTCAGTGGTTCTGACTAGCATAATTTATAAGTGCATAAAACATGCATGCAGATAAATCATTTTGTGAGTTTGTTATACTTCTAGTGTCATGTGATGAGGAGAAGGGGGATATGTGATTTAGGATCATCTTTGATTTCTAAAAGTATCGTAAAAAATGTCCTCGCACAAGCATCTTTTGCAGCTAAAAACTGTTTCTGCTTTTAAAAATTGCCTTCTCATTTCCGAATTGGACATGAATGCCGCCTTTAAATGATCGATATCCCAGTTTTCACAAGACCCAACTCATTTTTAAAAATCCCCCCCCCCCTACTTACGTACCTAACAGCTTACAGAGATCTGGGGCAGTTTTCAGTTTCCCTATTTAGTAATATTATTTTCATAGTTTTAATAAACTTGTTTGCTGATCTGTCATAAGCGTGCATGCGTTTTCAGTCAGCAGATTCTGCGAAAAATGAGGTTCACCCCTCCCCTTTAGTTCTAACCCTTGTGATGTTTATATCAAATAAAGTCAAACCTCCTTATATCAACTGGAAGGACTGAGAGACAAATTATTATATTATTTCTATATACATAAGTTCCAGATACTGAGGGCCGGTAAAATACTGTATATTAAGTAGAATTTTTAGCGAGGATTTCATTTTGGCATTATTAGTGAGGGTGCTGAAATCGCTAAAATTGAATATCACTGCAATAAATTAATTGCTTTTTATTTGAAATAGCTTCTTTAGTGTGCCTTTTAAAATCTCTAAATTAACATCTCGCTAAAAATAAATTACCAGTTTTTAAGGACAAATCCCTAAATTTGCATCTCGCTACAATATGCAATTATACGGTAATTCTTCCTTCATTTAATTATGGGTATACTTCATGCACTTGTGCTAAATGAATGTGTCTGAACATAAAACTTGATGTAGGTATGTGTATTAAAAAGTATATACAAGTAGTCAATAGCAAAATGAAAGAGAAGTTGGACTTTTTCTTGATTCACTGGTTTTAAATCTATAAACTTACAATGCAATATAAACATTTAAGCAAAGGCAATATATACATTGTATATTTAAAAATCATGCATGCATTGGTTAAAAGATTATAACATACGATCTGAGAGTTTATTAGTCATCATTAATAAATAAAATTTAATCTAAATGCTTACATTAAATTAGCAAACAAGCCAAAATGTTTAAAAAAAAGAAAAAAAGAAATTAATTTCATAATTTCATAATTAAAACACAGAAGATTCTGAACACATTGAGGGATGAAATTGGACAGAAATAATTTTATTGACCATGTTGACCACTGTGACCACTGTGACAATATAATTTCCTAAGTAAGAGTTATCTTTCTTACAAGAGGGTCAAATGAACCTTAAATCTATTCATAAATGGTAGTCTTCAATATACCTGGGTACTACTAATTGTTGATCACACAGGAAAAGTTATGAAGATCAAAAATGATTTCATCATGGTTATTGAATTTAAAAAGAAGATTCCTCCAATTCATTCATTGAGTAAAGAGTTTTTAAAATATATTGTGCATGCAAATTAACCAATATTATAATTCACTGTAAGATTAATATGTTTACGTAATACATGTTAATTCTTTTTAAAAAAAGAAATACTTACTTGTACAGAACTTGAGGTAATCTTTGAGCTCCGTTTCCGTATAACTGTCTATTATGTTGCGTTCTCTGTATGGTAGCTGATTATAAGCCGTGTCATTAAACGCAAACACCGTCATCGTAGTTGGAGACTCGTAGAACCTCGTAAGTTGTGCTCTGGTAACCAGCTGCGCAAACTGAAAGTTGAAATATTCATTTTTAAATTTATACAATTTTGCTTTAAAACTAGTGTACATGCATTAAGAATTTTTTTTTGCAATGATTCAATTTTGGCATTTATTAGCAAAGGCATTGGTTTCGCTAATCAATCTCAAAATTCGTCTTCAGAAATTACAGGTTTCATTCTGAACTCTATGGTAAAATCAAGAAAATTAGACTTCTGTCTAAAAAATAATAATATACTTCCGATGTGCAATGATCAGAGAAGTATGCATGTGTATCATATTTTTATACTTCATGTGTATCATATTTTTGGGGGTCCATATCTCTTCCATCCTCTCAAAAGTCTTATATTCACTGATATTTTCTTTTTTGTTCTGATTTTCTTGTTTTTAAAAAATGATGCTTTTATATTAATTCGGTTATTCTGGAGTTGAAGAGTGTATCCTGACAATCATGTAGTTACAATAAACCAGTAAATCTACGATGCAATGTATCTAAATATAAATTAATATATGTCCCAACTGTCTGTTTATGCGGAAATGAAACTCAATTGACTACTCCTCAACGGAAGAGTGCACCTACACCGTGTATATCCCAACATGCGGGGTGTATACTATGTTGTGCGCGGGGTGTATGCTTCCGAAGCGAGAGAAAGGGGGTCAATGTAGGTTCTTTGTCCATTTTCTCAACTTACGGATATTTTTCGCCAGAAAGCATAAGCCTACGGAAGAAAGCATTATCAAAGGAGTACATGGATACCTATGAATCCACTGGACACCTTCTAGTTTTCTCAAACACCTCAACACAATTCCGAGGATCGGAGCAAGATTGACGCTACACTGTGTTTATGATCAAATATCAGAAGAAAGCTTTGCTTTATCATCACTTTTATATTATTGTTAAATACATGTTTACTATATAAACTTTTGTACAAATTGTCTCCAAATAAGACAGTTCGTATATAAAGATATTGACGAAAAATCAATGTTGTGTCCGGGGTGTATGCAACATGTTGTGCGCGGGGTGTATACCCCTCTCTTTATTTTATAGTATCATTGTCTGAAATATCATTAAAAAAATTCTTAACAATTGACTTTTGTGAAAGTTATATATCTATTTTTCAAATTATTCACCAGTATTGTAAAAGCACAACTTCAGGTTAATGAATTCGATTTACTGAAAAAAAAAGATACACTTTCATCGTACTTTTGGCTTTGCATGCCTATGGAAGTAAATGTGCAGGGTGCTTTGTTAAACTGTTTAATGTGATAACCAACAATTCATCCCTTCGATTTAAAGACACCTTATTCAGATCATTCCTTTATAAATACTTCACACATGCATCGTTTTGAACATTTAACATTTCCTGATATTCCTGTTTAACCTTTTTCAACATTTTTGAATTGATACTGCATACGGAGTGTATATATTTCAGTTGATTCGATACCCAAGAGCATGCTCTACTATGAACAATTTTTAAAACGAGGTAAATTATTGACAAGCAAGTTGATGAAACTAGAATATCAACAGTCTCGTTTAAAGTCATCATTTCGTAAGTTCTATGGTGGATACAATGACCTTGTCAGCAAATAAAATTTATCATTGAGTCAAATGCTGACTGACATTTTTCATACCAATTGTTAGTTCATTATTTATACACTGAATTGACGACGGATTTTTCCGTTATTTCACGATCATGACAATGAGCACACGGCAGGTGTGACCGGTCAGCAGGGGATGCTCACTCCTTCATGGCACCTGATCCCACCTCTGATGTTTCGGAGGTCCGTGTTTGCTCTGCTCTTGTTTTGTATTGTTTTATGGACTTTAAGATTGAATACTGTGCGTTATCTCCACATCCCTTTTATTGAAATATTTAGCTTTTTGTAACGTCATCAACTCTGCAAAAAATGTTTTCCTTCATGTAGTATTTATATGCTGTGTACTTTGCCCCCTGGAGCTCACATTTGGCAGTAATTTTTTTGCTTTATATTGAGGCATTGTATTGTACTGTACTGAGTACATATTTTCTAGGAATGGGCCCGGGGAGGGCGTGTTTGTGTCTTAGGTCATTTTGGGCAGGGGGGGGGGGGGGGGGTAACTTTACTAATAAATTTCAGGAGGGTTAGCATTAATTGATATTAATTACACATCAACGTAAAATTGTGATTGTACCAAAAACAGCTTTTTTTAATTGTGCATGCCCTAAGAAAATTGTCGTCCCTTATTACAAATGTGCATTTTTATAGCTGTCTATAAATTTTTATTGTACTTGTAAAATATGAAATCTTTTCAGATATGGAAAAATGAGTCCACATATTGCAAAAATTGAAAGGAAAATTAATTTAACATATCATACAAACACGTAGTATTCCCCTTTTTGTTCCAGACACAACTTTTCACTATAGAAAATGTTCATCGAAAGTAAAGTTACCCCCCCCCCTTTTTTTATTGCAGCATAGTCAAAAAATGATTATGTAGTATGTTAAAGTAAAAAAAGGAGAATTGTTACTGAAAAAAATGGGACCTTTAACCTTATCTGAAATTGGAGTTTTGAGTTTCGATAAGCCCCCCCCCCACCCTTTTTTTTTTATAAGGTAGTCAACCTATCTCCAGGTTTTTTTTTAGGTATCCCCCCCCCCCCCTTCAAAAAAGATTCTAAATCATTGTTATAAATGCTTAAGAATACATGTATTAATAACATAAAAGATGCAGAAACAAAAAAAGAGATTTATTCATAATACACCATTCATGTAGTGTTTCTATTATTTCTAACAGGCGAAATATTTAGATTAAAACGATCTGAAGGGCCCCCTTTGGAAAGATTTTATATTTTATGATTACGTAGATTTAGACCATTGCGCCATCTACAATGTAGCATTAATTCAGATAACAATCGCTCCTTGCACATCTAGCGCCTATTATGTATGAATACGATTGTTTTTATTTTTTTTTATCCTTTTGATTTTTTTAAAATTTAGTTCATTTGTTTTATACCTCAGTAAGTTTATGGACTTGACGTTTTGGTTGGGCATTAGTATTAAGGTCTTTTATCAACACTACCTGTCGCTTATAAACCTGTGTAAATAATATTTTTATGGTTACTTCGCAATAACAATCTTAAGAAAAATATGGGGTATACACCCCGCGCACAACATGTTGCATACACCCCGGACACAACATTGATTTTTCGTCAATATCTTTATATACGAACTGTTTTATCTGCAGACAATTTGTACAAAAGTTTATATAGTTAACATGTATTTAACAATAATATAAAAGTGATGATAAAGCAAATCTTTCTCCTTATATTTGATCATAAACACAGTGTAGCGTCAATCTTGCTCCGATCCTCGGAATTGTGTTGAGGTGTTTGAGAAAACTAGAAGGTGTCCAGTGGATTCATAGGTATCCATGTACTCCTTTGATAATGCTCTCTTCCGTAGGCTTCTTTGATAATGCTCTCTTCCGTAGGCTTATGCTTTCTGGCGAAAAATATCCGTAAGTTGAGAAAATGGACAAAGAACCTACATTGACCCCCTTTCTCTCGCTTCGGAAGCATACACCCCGCGCACAACATAGTATACACCCCGCATGTTGGGATATACACGGTGACCTAGGGAGATAATTATATCTCTTGCAGAAACTTGCAGAGTAAATAATAAATTAATTCAGCTTTCTACATTTGTTTATACATATTATACTTTACAAATTCCTGGAGAAAGTTCAGAGAAATGGAACATTTACTAGTAGAGAATTTTTTTTATAGGTCTGCAATAAAAGTCAATTAAACTAGAGGGAGTAATCTCTCTTATCAAATGGTTGTTGAACCTTAAGAATTAATACAGTATGAATGATTAAAATTTTGACTTGAGAAGATTTTGTTGGTACATTGTACTACCTTAAAGAAATTAAAATAACTTGAGAGTAAAAGGTTGAATTTTTACTGCTGTAACAGTTTTACAAAACAGAAAACAAATCCAAATTTCCATGTCTTATGAATAATACATGTAAAAATAATAATATGTCTACTCATGAGCTGTGTTTCTCAAGCTGTCAATACATAAGTCATAAAGAAATAAAATTGAAGATAATCAAGTGTTACACTGAGAAACATTTAGGAGAGTTTTATTCTCCTTTATCTGTTTATATGGCTGTCTAATTCAAAACTCGGATCATTTCCCACAGTTGGTTTATATAGCCCTATTATTCTGATTATTTGGATTTCATTTGCTAATAAAGTTTGTCATGATCATGCTTAAGGACAGACGAGACGTTCCTTAATACTGTAATAGATAATTTTTTTTTCTAGGAGTTTGTCATTGAAGTATTGCTACTTAAACATGTTAACTCACAAAAAATTGACTGAGGTACCTTACCAGGCATTTCTACAAGATACCAGGGGTAGTTTTTCTTATATAATCCTTTGGGAAGAAAAATAATTTTCCAATTTCAAATGTCTAAGTGTTTGGATTTTTTAAACGTTTAAATAGAAACTGGTTTAGAAATCAGAATGTTATTAAAATTTTGAATATTTTTCATACATTATGAAGATATACAAATTAAGCTGGCCGACTATAGTTTCCATTGCACAATATTTCGCGCATCATAGTAAAATGAAGCGTATTTACTGTTTTATTGCAACCTTTTTCACTTAATTATTAAAATTAAACAAAAATAAGAAATTATATAAAAAATGCAATTACAATTTGATATAATTTAATTTTGATTTTGTTCTAGTCTCTCATTGGTTGATTTCCAAAAAGGAACACAAGAATAAAACGTAATAACCTGGTTTGGTATGGGGACACACCCCCTTGACAACCAGCTGATTCATCTGTATCTATGCAATCCAACATTTCCAGTCCATGGACTTACATGGAAAATTCTACATTTCATAAATGTCCTTTTAACTTCAAACAGTAGCTCGCTTTTACCTCGTGTAAACAAACATCATGGCTGCTAGATCTGTGTATCACTTGTTACGTCCCCTTGTTTCAAATCACTTCCGTTACTAGGGATGTATTATTGAGCGGCAAATTTGAACTCATAAAAAGCAGCACAATTTTACATCCACAATTGTTTAATTATTTAAAAATTAAATTATAAGGAATGACTCTAATTCTTAGCCAAATTATTCGATTATAACCTGGTTTGGATCAGTTTACGCTTTTTTATAATCCGCTTCGCGGATTATAAAGCGTAAACTGACCCAAACCAGGTTATAATCGAATAATTTGGCCAAGAATTAGAGTCATTCCTAAAATAACTGATTCTTTAACCGATTTTGCAATTGATAGGTAGGTTGACGTTGTTGTAGTGTGTTTTTTACGTTATGATAATCTGTAGCTCTTAAAGAAAGGGGTAATAAAAATATTATTAAAGAAAAAGTAATAAACATACGCTCTTGAAATTTAAAACATAGAAATTTGAGAATATCTCCAATATTTTTATTACGTTTTCATGTGAATCCATTGCGTACGTCATATTTAGTAATACTCTATAAAAATAGTAAAATTTGCTAATTTTTTGCATTTTGAGATGCCCCTCTGGTAACAAGACGGTAGAATTTTGTGTTTTTTACATATATTGTATAATATAGTATTACTCGTCAAATATTATAGTTTGAACAAAATTTCTATTGTAGTATTTGAATAGTTTGCTTTAAAGTGCTACAAATTGGCATTTTCATATATAATCCTATAGTAAATGTGCTTGTATTTTGAGACAGTCCCTCAAAAATACCTGGACGGTAGATGTCCCCCAAACTTTGCATGTACACTGAAGTTAATGTAAGCTATATATGGTATAAAATTGAAGAGTTTTGCTATAATTGCAGTTTTCACACAATAAAACTATAGTCGGCCCCCTTAAACAGATTCAGACCTTAAACTCATTATGTACATGATGTATACTAAGAAATTATATTTAAGTTTTTTTTTTAATGTCAAAATTGAATTAATTTTAAATATGATACCTTATTTATTCAATCTTAAATTTACATTTACATGGATTGTCATGATCATGCATACTTATTTCAGTCATATGTATACTAGGCTGTACTTATATTAATTTACATGTTTACCAGGTTTTTACAAAAAAAAAATGTCAATTTTGTTTAAATATTATAGTCAACGTACCTAAACGTTTTAAAATCATTATTTAAATTTACATTTTTTATGTCTTTATAAAATATATATATACAATGTATTTGTAAATGGGTAAATCTTTGACGCATAGCATGCATAATATATTTTATTATCAACAAAGTGTCAAACTTTTAGTTTTGTTCTTTATAAATCTCAATTCATTATTTTCATGAAAATCTACAATCTTCTAATACTGTGACATAAGCTCCCCCCTCCCTTTCCCATTTATTTCAAATAGCTATTCAGGTCTTGCATTTCACATTGAGGATAATCTAAATTGGTAAACTTGACCAGTGACCAGTCCATTATAAAAATTTGTCACTCGAAGCTGTAAGCCTGCATTAAATGTCAGAGAGTCACAATTTATACATGATACACTCTACATAGAGGCCTCACACCATTACAAATTGAGTGTTAAAATCCGGACATATTTATCATGTCACCGGTATGAATGTGCACTGCCCCCCGGGGTATCCTTTTCATTAAAACACATGTTAATCTCGGTCACTCAGCAATAATGCTTGTCAAAAAGTTCAAAGAAATGACAAGGTTTCCTGGAAATCAATTTAATATGTGATGGATGACGTCTTTTTACCATATTTACGAGAGAGAGAAAAACAATTGTGTATTTTTAAACAGGATAGCTAATGGATATATGTTAACATCCTGAACCAGCTAGACTTTTATACATATAATTACGATATGGGGCCATCTTTTAAAAAAAAATGTTTGTTTGCCCTCTCTTGGCTATAAAAAATGGCCAAACTTATTTTTTTTTACCTGCATGCAAGAGCCAAATTTGTTTTAAATTCTTTTTTTCCCAAAATTTACTCATCTAGTAAACAAGTTTGTCAGAATTTTCTTTAAAAAAAATATCTCACCTTAGCTACCTTCCGACCTAATTTTTTTAACCCTTAGTAAGGAGAAGGCAAAAATAAATCCTTTTAAAGATACAATACAAGTGATACCTATATATAACATATGATATAAGCTTAATTCAGTGAATCTTGGCATGTTTATGTAATCTGTCTGCAATTTTTAAGGACATATAAAGAGTTACATGTATGTAAAATCATATCGCACTTCTTTTATTTTCATATTTGGGTTGTCTCAAATTCTGATCCCTCCCCCTCCCCCCCATTCACAAAAGTCATACATATACTTAATCATGTTAATATTATATATTATACACTTAACCATTGTTAACATGCTATCTTGTTACTATTAATTTAAAGATAAAACAATACAGTGTCATGATAAAATGATGATGTCCTTGCATAATCTGGTTCTGGAAGGGGTCGATCAGGTTTTTTTAGGAGGTGGGGGGGGGGGGTTGAAATCAATTGGCATTGAGTAGCCTTTTTTCAAAAATAATGACAAATCAATATTACAGGAAATTTCTAAATCAATAGTTTGTTTAATTTATAGATGTTAAGCTTTATAACATTTTTGGAACATATAATTAATGCTTAATATATAGTTATTACATAAACATGATAAAAACAATGAATAAAGGTATATTGTTCCTAACTTTAATCACTTTCGAAGTTGACAGTTGATCATGTTTGATGTGAGCAAGTGATTATACAAATCAATTTTAGAAATAGTTCAAATTCGCAGATAACCTGATAAGCTATATAAAAACTAAAATAAATACAGATAGTGACTCGATATATGACAAATTTCTGCTATTTATATTCATATGTCATATCAGTTTCTATTATAATACACTTTGGGTAATATTTACCTGTGCAGAAGTATTTTTATTGTGCTTAAAAGCTGTGACTGCAGCAGCGATTAAAATGACTCATCTATTAATATATATATAACTGCATTAAACTTTTCTTTTTTGTTTACTTTTAACATGACTGTATACTGCTAAGAATCTTGGATGATTACTGATGCAATAATTTGCCACATGGTTTGATACTAGACAGTTAATCACTTAGCTGTGAATTAGTTAATTGATCACCTTTTTCATCATGATTAAGCAATTTGTAATAAACTTAAACTTTCATCTTTACATTATTTTTAGTATTGTCCTGACTTGCTACCCTCTCTCTCCCTAAGAAGTGCATGATGATCACGCATGCAGCGAGATCGACTTCTAGAAGATTAGTGTTTTAACCATGTTAACTAAATCCCCTCTACCGACTTGGAGAGGATACAGTATGTAACACAATCACATGTGTTAATTCATTTGTGAGTGCATGAGTTAACGCATGAATTCTGTTATGTTTGTAGATATTTATAGATGTTAAAAATGCTTTTTACAAGGGTCGATAGATCGATGGTCATGCAGCTTTGTGGAGGCCCCTCATGTCATATAACCCTTAACTTTGCGATTAATTATTAGTAATTTTAAGTGTTTATCTGCAGGTTGAGCTTTTCATCTATTATTTTGAGCATTATATCTTGTTTTTGTTTCATGTCTATCACATAACATTAATTGTACCAAAGATCATGATGGACTATGTTAAGAGGTTTGCTCGATCTCGAGTCCCAGTATAGCAATCGTATATATACTAAGTAAGGAGTGAATCCTTGCCACATGGATTCAAATCCTACTGCATGCGTAACAACTGAAAACTGGTCCTTCAGATGAGACCGTTTTTAAACTGAAGTCTGGCATTGTCAAAGTAGGTGCCTGAGAGCTGCATATGTATTAAGTCTAAATTTTCAGCTTCCCATCGACAAAATTATAATGGTGACAATAAACATCTTGAGCAATATGAGTAAAAAAAATGAGAGTAATTTCAGATCTAGAAGGGATGTAAAAGTTATCAACATGTGCACACAAGAGGGAATTAACCAGAGTAACTTGGGGGTTATGTTTTAAATTAGGAGGGGAAATCGCCAACGCAGATTTCCATTTCAACCCTATAAACAGGGGGCTATAATCAGATAATTATTCTGTTAATTATTTCATATTTAGGTTCTTCACAGGGGTCTGTAACATACTGTATTTGATTTTATGTAATCCTTTTTTGTATATACATGTATCTATACTAGTGATTACGTAAAATCAAAACAGTATGTTACCCCGGCCCCTGTGAGGTTCTTAAATTGTCCTCAGGAAATGACTCCTTAAAAATGTGTGATGGGTTGGTCACCACTTACAAGTAAAGAATTAAGTGTAACATATGTATAAGCAGAAGTCACAAATTTTACTGTGTATACAGATATGTTTTTTGTTATCATTTCATGTTTTCAAGTACTAGTATCTTAATTCTGTGTTGTCAATACTTTCACACAGCATGGGTTATTTTTAGCACACATAGCATTTAATTTATTTAAGAAAATAAAATTTGTTTACAATCTGTCATAAAACTTCAAAGTTGTGTTTAATTACTGAGTCATATGGCACTACCCACATAAGATTACTGCACCATAAATGGCTCAATCATGTTTCTAGAATTTATCCACATTCTTCCTCCAACATGTCCAAGTTATTCGATCTTTTTCAATATTTAACAATGCCCGTGTATATAAAAAAGTAATTCTTCATTTACGCAATGTTTTATTTACAAACTTTAACCATACGCCATTTCCTAGTTTGAAATATTACACACCTTGACCTAATAATACTGAACCTTTTCCCGGGAATAAAAACGCGCAACTTTACCTTAGAAAATCCTGTTGTTCGCTGGAGAATTTGTAGAATATTTCCTGATATAACTTGTCCTTGCACATAATTAACTAGATAAAGTGAAATCAACAGTCCCAAATTCGTCAATTTCGCCTCCATGACTTCACATTTGAAATTGTTTACCTGAACTAAGGGACGCTACTCGTGAGCGCTTCCGGGCAGGTGTAAAAACCACAAATTATGAGAGCAGTAACCACAGGTGTTAACATGGTTATGACTTGTATTTTAAAATGGCTTGCAACATTCCTTTGAAACTGAGTTGGAATATTATGCTTTCCTTTCAACATGTTCAAAAGGGAATTGCGACATTTGCGTCAAAATAAACTTTCAAAACACTTAAACAGGCATATTTCTTTTACTTTTATGAATGCCAAAGGTTGTCAAATAAAATTAAACCCAGAAATTTCTTGACAAGCAAAAAAAAAAAAAAAAAAAAAACCTAAACTAATTCCCCAAAGGTGTCCGTTCTGTAGGGGGGGGGGGGGGTTCCAAGATCCCTTTTACTTGGTTTAGTTTATATACAGCTGTTTTAGCTTCAAATATGAAGAAAATGATTGATAACATCTGTAGCATATCACGCAGGAGCCAGGAACAAGGTGCTAGATATAAGAACAAGAACTACCAAAAAAAAAAAAGCTTCGGAGGAAGATCTAGTGGCCACTATCAAGACAACAGAGGTTATTTTGAATATGATCGACCACCCTACGACCAAAGGAGAGATGCATACCAAAAAAACAATTCAATTCAATTCAATTCAATTTATTCTCTCAAAACCATGTAAATGGTACATGAGGTACAAAACATATAAAACATATATACATATAATACAGTGGGTCAGGCAGAAGGTGATAATTAAGGAGAACAGACAATACTATTAATTTTAGAAATAAATGTACATAATTGTTTCAAAGAATCAACATCATTTTGGCACATGATTTCACAAAACTTAATGGTATTTGGATTAAAACAAAATTTTTGGTTCAAATAAACTTTTCTTAATTGGTTTAAAGCACTACATTCTAAAATATAATGATACTCATCTCCTATCTGGTTATTACTGCATAAGCTACAAACTCTTTCATTTCTTTGAGTACCATTCCATCTACCTGTTTCAATTGGGAGGTGGTGATTTGTGGTTCTAAACTTAACAAAAGTTTTTCTGAATTTAAAAGATAACAGAGTTAAATATTTTTCGCACTCAAAATTGGTTTTAAAAATTCTATAATTTAAACTTTTTGAAGATTCTTGAACTTCACTATTCCACTTTTGAATATATTGATCTTTTAATCTTTGTTTGACTGTAGCAGTTATCCATTGTACATTATAAAAATGATGTTCGTGCTCATACCATATATTTGATAAACCACATCTATCAAAAATCTTTTGAACAAATGATATCCATGAATTTTTCATTTCCTTTTTATCATGTTGTTTACGTAAATACATATATACTATTCTACACAATTTGTTTTCTTTTCCATTCACAAGGTTTGCCCAATATTTTATCATTCTTGAGTAAATATTTATGTGTAATGGAAATCTACCAGTTTCTCCATAAATCATATAACTCGGAGTGCTACTTTTCAAATTCAATATATGTTTTAAATAACGTAAATGTACTCGTTCAATAATATCAATATTTATTACACACTTAGTAATAAATACAGGTTTTTTGCATGTGCGATATGGCTGACGTCACAATAGCCGTATCAACCCTGCAGGGCTGATATGGATTTGCGGGGCTGATATCCGTATCAGCCCTGCAAATCCATATCAGCCCTGCAGGGCTGATACGGCTATTGTGACGTCAATATCACACCCTTAGTAAATTAAACCACAATAACAGTACTTGTGATCATACACAATTTTTGGTGGGTTCATATTCTCTTAATTTTAACTTTTTGAAAATAAGGTTAATCTTAATTTACAAATACATGTACAGTAATACTATAGAATATTTTCAAATTACGGATCAAGTGCATTGAAATAGAAGTAGAAACAAACCCAAATCGTATGAGACGTTAGACTATGTACATGTATGTAAGAAGTCCATGCATGATTATTTACTTATTTTCTTCTCAACTGAATGTGTTCTGTATTTTATTACTAAGTATGTAATAAATATAATAAAACATACCCTTTTCCACATCACATCCTGTATCAGCCCTCGACCAATATCAGCCCTCGGGCCTTCGGCCCTCTGGCTGATATTGGTGTCTCGGGCTGATACAGGATGTGATATGGAAAAGTGTATGTATTATTCTCTATTTTCATACCCCCATATTTCACAGCCATATAACAATACTGGTAAAACTACTTTATCAAACAAATCCAATTGACATTCGAAGGGGAGATTAAACTGCCTAATTTTACGTATCACACCATACATTGCCTTTTGTGCTTGTTCACATAGGTGTTTTCGTGCTTTACATAATGAGCCTGTACGAGAAAATACAATCCCTAAATAATTAAAATCTTTGACTACTTCTATGACACTGCCATTATATGTAAAAATATTCTTTGGCTGTCTACCCTTTGAAAAAATAAGTATCTTTGTTTTCTTGATATTCACACATAATTTCCATTCTTCACAATATTTGTAAAATTCATTTAGTGCTCTCTGAAGATCTTCAGCAGTTTTGGCAAGAATTACAGTATCATCGGCATAAAATAAGATAAACAATTTCATATACAAAAACAAAACAGACTGATGAGTGCGTATTGGCGTTAGTACAAAGTACATTGATCACGTTAATTAAACACACAAACACTAAAGTGGTAAAAGAATTTTCTATAAATTGATTATTAGGTCTTTCCACCTTTCTGTGGAAAGACCTATTGATTTCCTTCTGTTTCTTTTTTTCCTTTTTATTAGGTCTTTCCACCTTTCTGTGGGAAGACCTATTGATTTCCTTCTGTTTCTTCTTTTTTATTATTTTTCCGCCGTGTGATTTTTTGTTTCAAGATTTATCGAAAAGATTTATAGTCCATAAAAATGTACTCCGTAAAATATTATTGCAGTTCACCCTGCATAAATGAACCTTGACCGCTTTCGAAGTTATTGCCCCTTTCGAAAGAAATGCTTGTTATCGCTACTCCTTCGAAACCGTAAACCATAGAGGTATGAAACCTTCACCAATGTCTTCGACTGATTAAGGGGACTTCTCAATCTATTCATTGCGAAAGCATTCGGTGACCCCTTCAATGAGTTATTGCCCCTGAAACTTTTTGAATCTAACAAATAATTAATTTTTTTTAAAACGACAAGTCGTAGAGACATGGGACCAACTGCATAAGATTCATTGACCTTTGACCTTAAAATTCATGTAGAGGTCAAAGGTCAAGGTCATTCCAGAAATGAGAAATTAAGCTCTTTTTATATCTCTTTTGTCTTTTAACATATACTTAATGTCTATGCATCATTAGTATGTACTTTTAAAACTGTTTCAAAGATTTCCTTCTTGTCCCCTAACATAAACCCCTTTAAAAGTTATTGCCCCTTGTGCGAAAAAACCTTGTTATCGCTACTCCTCCAAAACTGTACACCGTAGAGACACCAAACCTTCACTAATGTCCTCAGGGTCTTTAGGCCTAACTTCAATGTAAAACTGCAAAAGCATCTGATGACCCCTTATATGAGTTATTGCCCTTTAACTTCTTTGTACTTACTTTTAAACCTCATAACTTAAAAACTATAAGTCGTAGGAGCATGGGGTCAATTGCACTGTGACCCTCGACATTTGACCTTGAATATTTTTTCAAGGTCAAAGGTCAAGGTCATTTCATTTTTTTTTTATTTTTCTTAATTTATCCTTTAAAGACAATTTTGTTTTCTTATTCATGGAATTAAATTTTAAGGAGTCAGATATTAAACAAAATTGAAATTCAAAGAAGGTGGAAAGACCTCTTATTGTTCTGTGAACAATAAGTCTCCTAGTTTTTTATTATTTTTCCGCCGTGTGATTTTGAGTTTCAAGATTTATCGAAAAGATTTTAAGTTCATAAGAATGTACTCCGTAAAAGATTTTCGCAGTTGACCCTGCGTATATGAACTATGACCCCTTTCGGAGTTATTACCCCTTTCGCAAAAAAGCTTGTTATCGCTACTCCTTCGAAACCGTAAACCGTAGAGAAATGAAACCTTCACTAATGTCTTCAACTAATTTAGTAGACACTTCATTGATTCATTGCGAAAGTATTCATTGACCCCTTCAATAAGTTATTGCCCCTGGAAGTTTTAGAATTTTGCAAATAATTAAAAATTTTCAAAACGAGGACATGTAGAGACCTGGGACCAACTGCATAAGATTCATTGACCTTTGGTCTTAAAATTTATTGAAAGGTCAAAGGTCAAGGTCATTCCAAAACTTAGAAATTTAGCTCTTTTTATATCTCTTTTGTCTTTAAACATATACTTAATGTCTATGCATCATTAATATGTACTCTTCAAACTGTTTCAAAGATTTAATTCTTGTCCCCTTAGATTAACTTCTTTAAAAGTTATTGCCCCTTGTGCGAAAAACCTTGTTATCGCTACTCCTCCGAAACCGTACACCGTAGAGACATCAAACCTTCACTAATATCTTAAGGGTCTTTAGGCCTAACTTCACTGAATAATTGCAAAAGGATCTGATGACCCCTTATATGAGTTATTGCCCTTTAACGTCTTTGTTCTTACTATTAAACCTTATAACTTGAAAACTATAAGTGGTAGAAGCATGGGGTCAATTGCATTGTGACCCTTGACCTTTGACCTTGAATATTTTTTCAAGGTCAAAGGTCAAGGTCATTCATTTTTTTATTTTCATTTTTTCTATGCTTTAAGAGAGTTTTGGTTTCTTTTTCAAGGAATGTAATTTTTAGGAGTCAGAAATAAAACAAAGTTCAAAGAAGGTGGAAAGACCTCTTATTGTTCTGTGAACAATAAGTCTCCTAGTTTTTTTTTATTATTTTTCCGCCGCATGTTTTTTTGTTTCAAGATTTATCGAAAAGATTTATAGTCCATAAGAATGTACTCCGTAAAATATTATTGCAGTTGACCCTGCGTAAATGAACCTTGACCCCTTTCGAAGTTATTGCCCCTTTTGCAAGAAATGTTTGTTATCGCTACTTCTCTGAAACCGTAAAC